TATTCCATGGCAGAGAACAACACCTGTCAACACGTTGTGGCACAGAGATCACGCGCGCTATCGCTGGTGGCCTGCAGGCACAAGGACGTGTATGGCACGCATAGTGTCGCTACACACGATGATAATCAATACAATGTTGTGTCGTAACTCAATGTCCAACAATAGGGCATCCGCTATTGACCTTTGAGCGCGTCCGACGCACCAAGCTTATCGTCTGGCGCTGTGTCGACGTCTAAGTGCTTGTGAACGCACAAGATGGGTCGACGTGAAAGGTATCTTCTCTGATGTGGCTTGCTTCAGCGTCGTCTCGGGGGGTGTTAAGCGTGGGATATGCTCCAAGATGCTGCGCAATGGTCATGAAGTCGCCGAAAGGCGTGGTAGGCAAGCTGAGAATGATGCAAGCCCAGTCCTTTGCAAGTACTGGAAACAAAGGCCAGGGTTCTTTGATCAGCACGATGTTTGCATTTGACAGTGGCACAGAAAAGACACCATTACGTTCAGCTGAATGTTTGGCTCACGAAGACCATCGTAGCTTGCGACGGTGTTGCTGCAATAACAAGAGGTTCCGTCGGTCTGTATCAGGGCAATATGTAATGAAACTCGCCAAGTGATGCCAGAAAACGTTAAGCAAAAGAACTCATACACGTTGACGCAGTCTTACAAGTCGTCTTATTGGAACACAACATATTCATGGATGAATGGTCGCTCACTAGACGAATAGATGTGCGGTAACGAAAATTGGACAAACCACGAATAGTGCATGGTCACCGGCTAATAAACGCCCTCAAGCTTCATCGTGTCACCTCTGTTCACGCTATTGAGTACCTAGGAAATCCGTCGCTGACATTCTCGGTCGACGCCGCTGCCTCGATGGGACCGATAACATCAACACAACGTGTCGCTCCCGCTGGTCGTGCCACGCTGCTTCTACTCGGAATGGTCTGATTCCAACACTTATCCGCAAGGTACAGCTGATGCATGGGAGACAGTCGCTGCCACCGAAAGCTTGCGCGCAATACTTGGCCCAGCCAGCGTGATAGTTTGTCGTCCACCGAACCTTTCGCACGGTATGTTCAACGATGCGATGGTCGTTTCGTGGGTGAGTGTGTCTTCGCGACTTATCGCTGCGGTCATCTTCGATGCTTTTCGATGCTTTTGTGCAGCACGCGCCTGCGGGGCGCCTGTTCACTTTCAAGCACATCCGTCAATAACACGAATTACACAGATATGGGCTGGAAATTGTCGCTGGATGCCCCGGGCTCAGGTATTAAAAAAGATTGCTACCAGATTGCGGTCCCATGCCGGGTTCACGAGGATAGATCTTCAGATACACAGTCGTGAACACGCAATTGTCACTCGTGGTATGGCCTGAATGCATTGGCACGATCTCCGACAAATTCGTGCTACGCCTCCTTACGTCTCTCAGACGCTATGTCGGCTCAAGCGCAACCATTTCCTACTCTGGTAGCGATTGGTCAACAACCTGTCATGTCCGAATCCCGGCTGCTGCCCGCGTGATTTTGCCCCTGCAAGTCGTGTTTTTTGGTTTTGTCCACTAGCCCAGCGACGGTGGCGGACCCTTTTTAGCGTTTGGAGTAGACTTGGTCGACTTCCTGACGCCGACCTACCGCACAGCGAGTTCTCACTAAAACTTGTGAAGACCCATGACCGTGCATGGAATATAGCACTCACTGCTTGACAGCCAAGTGATGGCACTGTCGAGGCTCAAGCGGTCGTCTTTGAAGCTGCCAACGAATTATGGCGCTTGATTGTGTCGATTACAACCCACGCCGTTTGGCTAGAGCGGCTACGACGGATTGAGGACTCAACGGTATCCGATGAGAGCCACACCACGATTGCTCAAGCCGGTTTGCGAGGGACACCCACTTTTTTTCGAGGCGCAACGCACCAACCTGGTGGCGACACCCGGGATTTTGTTCTGGCTCTAGTCCGCTCAGCGCAGGCTGATGCGATTTTGCACCACTTCGCGTCGCCCCCACTTTAATTCCTGACCTTACCACACTTGCCAAACGACCATCTTCTGCTTTTCTTTGGTGGTCGGTCTCAAGGTAACCCCGGTCCCGGAGGCGGTGGATCTGTCCTAGTGCGAGTACAGGCACACACACACACATGATGCCCGGATCGTTTGGATGGTGCGCATGTCTCTCGGGTCGTCAACAACGACGGATAACGGGGCTGCATTCTTCGGCCTCCTTCCCGGTTTGCAGCAGGAGATGGACAGCGGCTTTACTCGTCTGCATGCTATTGGAGGTAGTGCCATGGTCATCACTCAACTTTGACTGTCCTGCTCGCCGCGCCAGTCACACCTTGCCGCACTTGACCGAAAGGCGCGGGGTCTTGCTGATGACGTCGCGGTCGCAATCTGGTCTTATCATTACCGAGGATTACAACACGATAGTAGACCTTGCTGCTAACGTTGCGATGGATACCAAGAAATTGCTACAAGTTCACGCTCTGACTGACCGCACCATTGCTCGAACACTGCATGAATACCTCCACCACGATGTCAACAATTGGCTCGAGACAGCACTCTCCGTCGAAGTCGGACAGAACTCCTGCCGCTCGCAGGCCGCCCGCGGACGGGGCTTGGCAGGTCATCCAATCAAAGCCTGACGGCATGCCGTCCGGGCGGTCGCATTGTAGATTGCTGACGGTCGTGACGCCCGATAATCAGATTCATCTGGGTAGGGATTGGTGGTCGCTGCTGATCGTTCCTTACCATACCTCGATTTGAACAACAACATAGAACGCCACTTAGGCACCCACGCTCCGAAGTGTCGGCAGAAGCTGCAAGTGACGTGAGTTTTTCATACTCTTCGTCCATCGACCGCGCCAAGAGAAAGTAAAAGCTGGAGAAGACTGTTTGCAATTGACCAGCTGCGTTTGTATATTCACTGAAAACTACCTGCGCTGCACGGCAACTATATGTACGGCTACGACAACGACATTCTAATGCATGCACGCCGTGCTTGTCAGACCCAATGAGTAGCAATACATACTGGGGATGGGTAGTGAGTGGCAAGATACTCGTCGGCTACGTCAAACAGTTCTAGTGTCAGTTCGCCACACCGGTCGACTGACAAAGCCAACACGTGTCGCGTACAGAACACGGATCGCGAGCGTTTACCTGGCTTAGTGGCGGAGGCCACCGGTCTGCACGGTCGTCTGCTTCACGTCCGCCAGGTGCGGACCGTCCGCGCCATACGCGTTTCCGCCTGCACCGACATTGGCATTGCCAGTCGAATCCACGCCGGTGCTCTTCCCAGTGACGGGGTTGTGGCCTGGCTTAGCTTTTACCCCAGCTCCCCCTTTTACCGCAGTCCCGGTGTTCGGAGGTGTGCCCGCATAGGGTAACGTAGCGGCAGGTTGACCCGCTCCACCGTTGGCGGGGAGACCAGCGTTGGGAGCCACACCAGCACCGGCACCAACACCATTGTTGATCGGCCCCACTGCCGCACCTCCGTTGGCGCGCTGGTTGCCATTGCCGCCCGAGTAATAATCGCGACCGTCGCCGCCGTTGTCGTTACGGTAGTCATTGTTGCCACGCTGGTTGCCATAAGGCCTTCTCCCGCCGTCACTGCTGTCATCGTCGTCGTCTCTGTAGACGCGCCTTTTGCCGTAGCTTCCCCTGCGGTTGTCAGAACTGTCGTCGTCGTCTCTGCGGCTGCGGTGGTGGTGCCGATGCCCGGTCTGTGTGGCTGCCGTCGACGCATCCACAGGGTTGCTCGAGAGTGCCAAAGCAGCTAAAGCACCCACGCTTAGCACACCGATCATCTTGCTGAGCTGCATGGTGATACTGGTCGTAGATGTACGCGGGTAGTTGTGTTGGTGTGAGTTGTTTCGTTCGTCGTGAGTTGAGGAATGAACACACTTGCTCGGTCCGAGCGCCGCGAGTGCACCGACCTCGCATCATTTTCAGACAGACCTCAATCGTGGCAAATAGAGCGTAGAGTCCGTTGAAAGCTAGCCTCCAGATGGTCTTCCAGGTAGACACGAAGGTTGCGGTCGAGTGAAGCGCAATCGTTGCGGAGAACTGCCACAGATGCGAGAGAGCACATGTAGATGGCATTCCGATGGCTTGCAAGGAAGGATGCTGTTAAGTAGAGACAGAGAGGTAGAGACAGAGAGAGAGAAGTGCACGGCTGTTGGCCCGAGTGGTTGCGGCGGCTGACAGATTGACACCGATAGGTAGGGTAGATAAGACCTCATGCCTTTGTTGGAATATTCACCAGAGCTGTAGCAGGTACCGAGTCCGGGTGAAGCAGATGCCCGGTCCGCTGGAACGCGCATCCAGCATGCTCCATGCATCACATGGTGACGTCGTTGCAAGCATAGTAGAGTATTGCATTTGGCACTTGTGCCGATCAGGCTGTCTTCGTCTGGAGCCAATCGAGACTTCGGGAAGGACGACGGTCAACATGCGGTCGGACAACAGCTGCATGGTGCGCCAGACCGTACGCTACGTGAGCAAATTTCGTTTACGATGATAGCAAATAGATCGTTGGGCTTTTGATCTTGTGTCTGACGGTGATATTCACGAGAAGGACAACATCTGAGTGCAGGGTGGACACTGCGAAAGAAGGAGTGGTATACGCTATGCTTCTTCGGTCTGGCATGAATCGTAGTACAGCTCTGGCTCTGCAGAACGTGTCTGCTGTCTTCGTCTGGGTACAAGTGACTGAAGGAGATGAAAAGCTGTGCGCTGCTAACGTGTATCTGCTAGAAGCAAGGCAACACTACATGCTGACACCATATAGTCACTGATATGAGCAGTCGTTGCTGGCATGCCGGTGGCCGCTGGCACTTGAAAAGACTTTGAATGCTTCCGTCAGATTTTGCTTTCTAGTTTCGTGTGTTGCGATACATGCATGGCACGCAAATGCTTGTCAGAAGAGCTCTTCCGGCTTTCATAGCATCGAAAGTTGGTAATCACGGGAACCAATAGCGGACTTTGCAGGGACGCGATCGTTGACTTCGGAATGGCAGCTTTTGCCAGAACACAGCGTGGCAAGATACCGGCAGGTAAGCACACCGTAGCCGCTATTTTGGAATAAGTGAGTGTGAGCTGTTGTTATGTTTTAGCACAGGTATCTAAGACACAGCGCAACGGCGACTGCCTATACTGGAAGCACATTCAAGTAGCGCGTTTATATTTGCCTTCCATCGATACAATGCTCCACGGTAGTGTGCGTTGTTGTGAATCACTTGACCGGCTTTTCGTCTGTCTTGTGGCGTAGCGGGCACCATTTGCTGGAAACCAAAAGCACGAGCGAGCAATTTGGCTGAAAAATGGGTGACAATTCGACTTCTGTCCTAGCAAATTCAGTTGATGCGACCGACTTTTCTGCATCATTGGCATGTTGGCGTGTGTGATGCGATGTGCTGCACGAGTTGCTGCGTGAAAGGCATAGTAGATGTCAACGACAAGAAAAGCGCAGCATACACAATAGTGCAGCGCATCATATCGAGAACAGAAGGTGTATGCGATAGATCAGCCAAGTCAAAACCGACGCTGTTCTTCTTTTCACAGGGGTTGTGCAAAGGAAGTGAGCTGAACCGATGACCGCTGCGCTCTCGGTAATCAGTAATTTGCAGCATAGACCGCGGATACGCGAAGTTGGTATAGCTGCACGCGAGATCGTCGGATCGTGATTGGCCTTGATTACTCGCGGGCCCATCTGACGTGAAGCCGTGTACCCTTTTTCGTCTCTTGCTCGCACGCAAACACAAAACTTTGATTGTTTCTTGTAAAAGCGTTAAAACGTCGCCTCCCATTTTCATAGAAACGCATTTCGATTTCTATTGCATTCGTTGTGGAACTGCAGCGCCAAACGAGCCAAAGTGACGCGCCCACGTGCGACCAATGCCGACGACGCCAGTGTCGTGGCAGAGCTACGCGCACGTCTGTTAGGCGTCGCGTCTGCTTCAGACCAACAAGCAGCAGTGGATGACGCTGTAGCTTTTGTGACAGCAGCAGAAGAGCGCTGTGTAGCGGGGATACGAATGCTGATTTCGGACTTAAGCGAAGCGTCGAGTGAGTGCGAATTGCAACTGAAGTTGCTGGGCGCGCTGCTGGCTTGGGCCGCACAGAAAGCAGTGGAGAAGATCGATGTGATGATTGACGTGCAGTTGCAGTGTCTTCAGCTCGTCTCAGCTCGTCTAGGCGATGGTAGGGATGTGCGAAGATGGCTACATTTAGGAGATCAGGTGCTAGCTGCTTTGCGTCACAATGCAGCGCTGTTGGTGAAGCAGGATTCCCAAGATACTGGGAATGAGGCACGGGTTGATTGTGGAGAGTCGAGACGGTATATGGTCAAGATTGCGTCGATATTGATGCAGCTACGCGAGAAAGTCGCGACAGCTGACAATACTTTGCGTGATTTGAAAATCGAGACATTTGTGTGGAAGGTGAGGATAGCGCGGACTGAGAGCTGGCGGATGTGTGGCTAACCGGTCGCGGTGCTTTGTTGCGTAGAATGTAGTGAAGCTGGCAGCACTCGTCGGTCCTTTGATGACGAGCGTTGCTAAGGTTGGAGATGACGCCGGTGACGAGAATGGAGTGAAAACTTATAGTGCCGATGACATGTTAGCTACTGTCGTGGTATCGTTGGAATGGAGTGCTGGCCAGTTGGTGCGTGATTCGAATCCGACAACTAATGGGATGCTAGACATCGGTGTGATGAGATTCCTTAAGCTGTATTGGCGAGTATTCCAGCGACTGGTCGTGGCTTTTGCAGGATCCGTGGAGCACGAGTTAGAGACTTGTGTCTTGGCGATTGTCAATGTCACCGCATGTTTACTCTACGCCGCACATGACACCTCGATTCCAGAGGTTTCTGGATTTCAGCAAGAGCTGCGTGCAATGATGGATCAAGCACTCGACATTTCGGTGAAGCTGGCGGGGAATGCTACACACTGCCAAATTAGGAAGGAAATGCGCGCGTTACTTTGGCATCCTGCTGAAGAGATGGTGCGAGCGGTGAGGCAGCGCCAGCAGTTAGACAAGGTGAAGAAGGGCATTGAGAGCGCGATACGGTGGAGTCACCTTCTTCTCCTCACTGCGTATGCGGGTCTAAGTAGGGACGTTGTGATGGATAGCACTGGTGATGCTTTACAAAGTGACGACTTCTACAGAGCTGCTGAAGTTGCGCAGCTGTTTGCGCGATACCGAGACTGTGAACTGACTGACCCCAAGGTCCACTCGATCGAATTATCGGAGCTGTTCACGGATGTGCTGCTAGGACATCTTCAAAGCTTTCACAGCACAGCAGAGCTCCAGCTGACGCTTCTAAAGCAAACGCTGTATCCCGATTGGGTGCAACAAACTTTATGCTGGAATATCTGGCGGGAACTTTTGTGCTATTACTGGAACGAAGCGCTTGGTGCGCAGGCTCTCCAGGTGTTATTTGATGTTGCACAGTGGGACGACGATAGCTCCGACGGATCGTTCGTGCTGGCGAATGGAGTCGGAGACGAGGTGCTTCGCTTGATAGCTTTCGTGTATGCCGATTTGCCTACATCGCTCCAGGATGTGTGTCTGGACCAAGTAACCGCATTTATCGATATCATTAGCAGTGAAGGCCCTGGCCACCAATTTGATATGAAAGTGGTATCTCAAGCGCATTTGCTTGAGCAACTAGTTGGCGTTCGGTTCCTGGCTGTGTACAATGGACCGTTGAAGGATGAGTGGGTTGCTAAGTATCTTCCCATCTGCTTCCAATCTTGTAGCACCGTTCTCGACCTTTTGTCATCTGAAGCAAAGGTTCTACCAGACAAGCGTGGCAGTGTTCTTGGAATGTTACGCGTGCTTGACATGTGCCTCCTCGTGTTGAGAAGTGTTTTAGATGACAACAAATTGCAGGATGGTGATTTCGCGGAATTTTCGGTCGTTTTAGTCCGTATCTCTACCGACGCATTATCCCAGCTGGCAGTACAGGGCAAGCACGCTACGGTCTTACACGTGATGGGGAAAAGACTTCAGCCGTTGTCAAAACGCCTGAGCCGAACTGTGGCGTTGGAGGAGGCAGGGTTGCGATGCATTGGACGGGCTACTGAAACGTCGTTGTATATACTTACAAGCCTTGGGTCTGTGCTCAAGTCAAACTCGAAGAATCAGTGCGTCCAGACAATAAAGGACCTGCTCACGATTGTGGCAAACGCACAAGACTTGGGACACAAGGGTTTTGTAGGCATAATGGTCCATACGGCACTATTCGTGAACGCAGCGCTGTTTGACATGCAAATAGCTTGTCGTGACATGGCTGTTGTGTGGCGATTGCTGCTTGCTCTGTTCAAACAGATCTTCGATGGTATTCACATCGTCAGCCGCCATGGTACTCGAGCGCCCCTACTTCTTTCGTTGAGCCTCGGTGCCTTGTACAGGTTGTTTGCTCACTCAAACATCGTCGAAATGCCAGGTGTAACGTTGAGGTCAATAGTATCGGGGGAAGTGGAGTCGTTTCGACAGAGTGCGTTAATGCGAAAGCTTTCCCCAGAAGAGGTGGCCAAGACGTTGGAATCAGCTCAGTCCCGTATGCTGCAGTCTCTTTGGCAGAGTCGAAGTACATCATACCGTGTTTTCAGGAATCGTTTTCCTGATGAACCAGCCGAACTGTATGCGGACATTCAGCAGAGCAGCAACGATGTCTCGGTGACACCAGCAAAACGGTTTGCAGGCGACTCAGGGACAGTTCCAAAGAAGTACCACAAGATCAATCATCTCCGTTCGCTTTGTCGAGAAATGGAGTCCTCGCTCTCGTCTATGACAGATAATGAGACGGCGACGGACATCTTGTCCGACGGGGAGCTGGAAAACGCCACGACCGCGCTTCACAAGATTCTTGCCAAAACAGTCACGCTGTCATCATAGTCGGTTCAGCAGAAGCAAACAAGATGCCGTTCGATGCGACCGTTGAACCACGTGCTTTGTGAGTTGGCCAGCGTTATCTGGCAAAGCTATCATGAACTTCCAACGACAGTATCGGCTGCAGGTTTCTGTGGATTTGGGCCGTTTGTTCTCTTGACCTGCAGCTGCTGTTCCAGTATTCGTGACGCTGGAGGGTTTGTAATCTCGGCATGTTCCATTCTGTGTGCTTTGGCTCGTTTCATCCGCGGCGAACTATCTCAGTGCGCATGTTGCCAGTCGAATGGAGTCGAGAAAGGGTTGCCTGCTCTCTTGAAAAAGTAGCTGGTGGTGTGTGTCACCAGTGGATATGTACTTTACACTACTCACGTACGAATCATTTCCCGCGATCTTCTACTTGCGCTTTGCAATCGAATGCCCTGGTGCACTCGTTGCTCTACGTCGGCTGAATCGGCTGCGAGTAAGCTCCACCTGCTTTAGTGACGTCGATCATTGCGACATGACGTTGTTGGCAGACGATGTCGGGGCGAATCGATTGCTGATTGCAGAAGCGGTGCGCCTTGTTGTGCATTGGGGTAAGCTGCTAAGCTTTGCGTCCTGTTTGATTGCAGCGAGCAGCCTACTTCGTGGTGAATCTTATTGAGCGTTCCTTGACGCCGTGAGTCAGCGCCTTCCTCGTCCAGCGATGGCGTGACGATACTTTGCTCGCAACTGTAATCGGTCAACAAGCATTGCACATTTCTACGCAGCTGCTGATGGGTAGAAGTAAACGCGTAAAATGAGGTGTTTCGTGAGCAATAGCTAGCTTGGCGTATTTCTGCAGTCTACTTACTATCTGCAATCGTTGCAATGTTTCGACGACACATCCTTCGACTTGCTGCGAAAAGTAACACTGGATAGACATCCTCTCACTACTGTCGTGTTTTGCCTATATATGTCATAACAATCGATTACTGCGTTGGGTTGAGAAAAAACTCATTGTACCTTGTCCTCCAATGAGTTTTAGCCGGACCGCAGTGCAGCTAACAGGGCAGATAACACACTGCAACGTTTTTTAGACTAGCATGTCCATGTACGTCCACCAAATCCACCGCTAACTGACCGCAACATGCGCTTCATCGCTATCCTCATTGGTATCAAAAAGTCACAATCGTCGCTTCTGTGTCGTCGACTTGGCGCCTTTTGCTAAGTGTTGTGCCGGTGATCGTGAGTTCAACCAACAGACATGTGTTTTTTGCGTCGTGCGTTAGCACGTTCGCACCGTGCAATGCACCCAGTTGTCTTCCGAGACATCGGCTGTCAATTGACCTCCCCGGGCGCTAGTTGGCTTAGCAAAGCAACACACTCCTTTCGTCTTCTTTCTTTTCGCTGTTCACCGAATCGATAAAACGTCGTAATAAAGCACCTTCCAGAAACACGCACAGGGTGGCTACCGATGCCGCGTCACTTCGCACGACAAACGCCGACGATTGCTCATTAAACAACCTCTTCCCGCTTATCATTGTCATCTTCGAGATCTTTGAGATACCCATCAAGCGTCATAGCGCCCCGAATGAGCACAGGTTGCTTGTGTCCGAGAATGACCTCTTCGTCCACATACACGGTATGCACATCGTTCGTGTCAGGCAAGTCGAACATCGTTTCCATGAGCGCACGTTCGAATATAGAGCGCAGGCCTCGCGCACCCGTGTTCTTGCGCAGCGCCGATTCTGCCACAGCCTCTAGCGCACCTTCTGTCGCGTGAAACGCAACATCACTCAGCGCAAAGAGCGCTTTGTATTGCCGAACAAGACTGTTCTTCGGTTCGGTGAGAACTTGCACGAGCTCTTGCTTCGACAGACCCGTTGTGCTCACAAGCAACGGAAACCGACCAATAAACTCTGGAATCAGTCCATACGACACTAGATCCTCTGGCTCGGCTTGAGAAAGTAACTGGCCAATCTGGTCGCTGTCTTTCATCCGCATATTGGGCATCTGAGCCCCAAAGCCGATCGATGACCGCGCTGTGCGACTAGTCACCTGTTTTTCCAGACCGGCAAATGCGCCACCGCAGATAAACAAAATGTTCGTTGTGTCAATGGTAATGTACTCACCGCGAGGGTTCTTGCGACCGCCCTTTTCCGGTACGTTCACAATGCTTCCTTCCAAGAGCTTCAGCAGCGCTTGTTGGACCCCTTCACCCGACACGTCGCGTGCGATACTCACATTGTCACTCTTGCGCGTGATTTTGTCAATCTCGTCAATGTACACGATGCCGCGCTGCGTGGCTTCAAGATTGTAGTTGGCGGCTTGGTACAGCTTGAACAACACCGACTCGACGTCCTCGCCAACGTACCCAGCTTGCGTCAGACACGTTGCGTCGGCAATGACAATCGGCACTTTCGCCAATCGTGCCAGCGTCTTGGCCAGCAGCGTCTTCCCCGAGCCCGTGGGGCCCACGAGCATAATGTTTGTCTTGTCCAACTCGACGCCTTCCAGCGACTGCAACTTGTCGCGGGCCGTCGCGTCATGTCGCAATCTTGACGCGTGGGCGTGAGCCACTGCATCCGACGCAGACGAGACACTGAGCGTCGGTTGGGTCATTTCCTTTAGCTCGCTGTGATAGTCCGTGACTGTTGTTGCCGTCGGGGTAGGGTAAATCTCCTCGAGCAGCAACCGACGACCGAGCATCGACCGCCGCGCGTCGTCTGCGTCCGCTCGTTGATCCGTTGCACCAGCCGCACCAATGTGCTGCTCGTTGTGCTTACTAGAAGACGCATCTGCTTTTCTCGTTGCTCGCAGCAAATCCAAGGCCTCGAGACGCTTGTAGTGGTTGTAAACACCCACCGCCAGCGTCTTCTTCACCTTGCTCTGGCCCACCACGTACTCATTCAGTCCGTCGTAAATCTCTCGCGGTGTCAACACACGATCTTTCAGCAGCGTCGCGTCTCTCGCTGCTCGAGACGCAGCGCCATCGGTCGCTAGCTTTGCGTACTCGCCGTCGGCATTCATGTGGCCGGGCCGCGTGGGCGACAGAAAGTTGCCGCTGTACAACGGTCCACCTGCAGTCGGACCACGTGGGGTCGGCGCGCCCGGAGACAGCGACGAGCTCAAGGAGCTCAGCGCGGCAGCAGCCGCAGCATTGCGGAAGGTAGGGGTAGGGTCGGCTAGAGGTTGCACGGTGAGTGCAAAGTGCAGCTTGCAGCTCACGCACTTGACCACGTCGCCCTTTTCCACCTCCGGCAATGTTGAAGTTGAAGTTGACGTACCCAATGGCTTACCCCCTTTCGAATTCGATGACGTCAACTTGTCCGCACTGAGCGGTTCGGTCAACACGAGGGGCGCGCGGCACTGCGGACAGCAGAGTCGGTCGCCGCCTGTTGCTGCTTTCTTCAGGTGGTGTTCAGTAGTGGGGGGAACGATTGTAGTGGTGTTTCGGATGCCACTCGGTAGGCGGCAGTGCTCAGGCAGACGTCGGGCGCGGGTGGGGCTGGCACACAAGAGCGAGAACGCGCGGCACGAGGTGGTCGCTATGAGGCGCGTCTGCAGCTGTACATGGAACACGCCGGCGCGGAGGGGGGATGACAGCGAAGGCGGCAGAGCATCGTAGCCGACTAGGGGCGGGGAGACGCGGGATCTACGAAAGACTGAGGAGGCGGCGTATCGGAGCGAAGAGACCGTTTCTTTCCGAATGCGCGGAGCTTGAAGCGCCGGAAACGGAAAAATAGGGACAGTCGCCTGCGCGTAGACGCCTCGTTGATTGGCTGAAATATCAATCACCCTTATCATCGTCATGACTGGCAGCGCCAGAACAACGACGTTTTCCAATGAAAAGCAACGGGATGACAACGACGATCGAGTTTAGCGCCATTACTAATCGATAGACTTTGTGTGATGGCGGTGGCACTTTGCAGCGAGCAAGTGCATGCGTAAAGCACAGCTTCGTTAGTGTGAGGACAATCACATAGCAATAAAGCAAGGCTGAACTTTGATGGTACGGGCCTCCACTGGCTCTAGGTGTATTGCGGAAAGCTACGAACCGGAGTTTTGCAATCGAAGTCAGAATTACTACAATCGATATTGCAGGCGAGGATTCCTCGATATCATATCGCCGAGCGCGTACGAAGACATCACCAGTGAGTGAGCAACTCGTACTGTGCGATCGCGATACTGCTGCTACCACCATTTCCGCCGATAACTCGTTCGGAGGTAAAAGTTGACTACGACAAAATGGAACACCTGTGCGGGAATAAACGTAGGGCTGGATCTTGCAGCTATCTGGGCGGATTCCATTTACGTGTGGTATCCTCTTCAGATCCTCACACCACCTGGCGGTACGCTTGTTCTACAATCGCATGCACAGCAGTCAAAATTCGAATCGACCCGACAGAGACCTAGCGTGAGATCTGCAAGACTTCGTGCAGCACTCCGACCCCTGTGCGGTTGTGCAGCAGCGTACCTCATTCGACACGCATGTGGTCTTTGCTGACGCGATTACCAAGCCTCGTGAAAACTCTTGTTGACGTTGTCCAAGTCGTGGTCTCTGCAGTGTGCCGTTGTCTGGGTAGTAAGCCACTAGCTGAAAGGAACAAAGGATCGTATTTGTGCGCCTTTTAGTTGCTTGCAACGCATTCTTGCGGTAGCTGAATAGAAGGTGTATTCGATGATGAAGATCTGGTGACGGAAGCCAGGTGGCCAATGAAGCGGCAGACCAGACAGAAAGGCTAGTGAGCAAGTGTGTGATCTTCATCTGGAACTGCCGATGGAGGAAACCTCAAGCCTTTGGTATTCAAGTAACCAAACAGAGTATATGAGCTCTTCGTTGACAAAACACACCCTTCTTCGAAGAAAACACACCGCGTTCCGATGATGATTCAGTTCGACCGTCCGGACCAAGCGGCTGCCCAGATACGACGCACAGTAATGGTTTTCAAGGCATCATAGGCTTGGGCCACTGGGTGTAAATAATAGTCTGCTGATTGCTGATGAAGCGAAGCAAGTGATTACAGAAGGTTTGCGCACTACTCGACGACTGAACGTGCACCACCAATCCAATTATAAATTCACATCGAATATTCCAACAAATCGTCGCCGAGCGCGCATGAGAGCGAGCAAATATAATAGCATGCTGTTCGATGACTCGCTATGGTGAGTTGGAGCATATGGTGTCGGCGGCGTGGCACAGTTTGATAGATTGTGTCCTACGTCCGTGGGGATTGCGCATACTTCTTCAACTTTTCAGCGTTGCATTGGTCGTCCACGACGAACATCTTCGCCACAATCATGACAGCCGGAGTCGGAGCACATTGTTACATGCGAACGGCAGATGCTCAATACACTTCATTCGACTAAATCATTGCTGTCACATCGGCATGAGAGACAAGTCTCCGGGCCTCGGATCCCTACCGTGCCTTTTGAGCGAAGCCAGGACCGTATTTAAAGAGCCCTATATGAACGCCGTGGCGCGGACCAAGCTAGGACTATTTTTTTTGTACAACACGGTTCGTCTGGAGTCAGCTAATGGTAGAAAACACGTCACATTGAAGTTGAAATATGCGTCTACGAAGTGTAAGCCGAATCTGCATCCATGCGAGTGGATTTTGAGACCTCTGTCAGAGGACACCCGCTGAAGCTGCACGCGTTTCTGGAATCAGTCCAGAAACTTCGGCTCACCGTGGTTCTAGCATTTCCTGTATAAAATAATTGTACATGTCCATATCACAGACGGAGACCGAGTATTAGTTATGGAACACTTGTCGTCATCTAAAGAGTGTACAAACAGTTTCTACTTACATTCTTGGCACGGAAACCACTATTTTTCGTCGAAAGCAGCAAAATAAATCAGCTTCCATGTAGGAATGATTGCGCTGTGTGCGCAAGTTCCATTTATAAATACACAATCACTTGTTTCTCTTCTACAATCTATCCTCAGTTGATCTATTTTGACTTTATCGATCGAAACGCATCTACATTCGCCACCAAGGCAGAATACACATACGCATGCGTTCGTTCATTTTCATACAAAGGGCTAGTCCTTGAGGATTCATTCAGCAGTTTGTCCGGTTGATCTCATGGCACACTGATGCACATAGGTACGATCTGTCTTGCATGATGACCCGCGCATGCCTTGTTTGCTAATGTCGCGCCTTCTTCGACGAGTCAGCGAAGGATAGGCAGACCAGATTGTACAGCATCGCGCACAGACGACATCACAGCGACTCACTGCACCAGTTTCTCTGATTTGCACTCCCATAATCACGGTCGTCGACCGCAGTTGTTCGACTTATTCAGCGCTGATCGTTCGCTCGTGATTCGGGCGTTCAGGGACCGTCTGTCACAAAAGTAAGGATGAGCCGAGTCCGCGCCGAATGGTTCGAGTATCCCTACCCCCTCTCCTAGCCGCACGATTTTCCATTCCGCACTTGTTCTATTCACTTGACCCACTAAGTCAGTAGCAGTGCGGACAGCACCCGCGTTCAGTTCTCTTGTCGCGTATGGCGGCGCAGCTGCACGCGCCCATAGACGCCGACCAGCGGCAGGAGTTCCTCATCAACTGGAACGCTGGACCTCTCGGCGTCGTGCTGCGGCCCGATGCGGGCCACGACGCGTCTCCGGTCGTGGCCCAGCTCCTGCCGCAGCCTTCCGTGGTCAAGATGGCAGGCGTGCGGGAAGGCGACGTGCTCATCAGCGTCAACGGCACAAAGACGACGCACTTGGGCTACGAGAAGGTGGTGCGGTTGCTCTTCAAAGAGCGCTTGCCGATGATTCTGCACTTCCGCTCGCCGCGTAGCGGGCGTGGCCGCGGGCGGGCGCGTTCGAGTAGCTCGACGCGCAATCGCGCGACGTCTCGAGTGCCCATGTTGGAGGAGGAATGTTATCCGAAGGTACCCGTCGAGGACAAAGTGTCTAGCAGCTCGCGGACAAAGAAGCGGGAGAAGAAGAAGAAGAAGGAGGGAACAAAGACGAAAGGAGACGACGACGTCGACGAGGACAACGACGACGTCAGGCACAAGAGCAGAAGCACAGAGACAGGCGAGCGCCGTCGACAGCGGAAGCAGTACAGTGTCGTGTGGGAGCGAGGCTCGCTGGGCCTTTCGTTTCGCGCGTACAGCTCGAGCGTGAACGTTCCGTGCGTCGACTTTATCAGTGCAAGCCGCGGTCAGGGACGCGGCATGGACCGCATTTGCGTCAATGACGTGCTCGTTGCGATCAATGGCGAGAAGACGAAGGCGCTCGGGGTGGAGAAGGTGCTGCGATGGCTACACGTTGTGGACAAGCCCGTGGTGTTGCGGTTCTATGCGTCTTCGAACCGCGTAGTGCTGGACTCAGCACATGGATTGTATGCGGACCCGTTCGATGCACCGTACGACGAGACGTTGATGATGCAGAAGAGACGACTGGCGGTTCCTCAGCCTGAAGGGGAACCGGCCCCGCGTCCTCCGCGTCGGAATAATAGTGTGGACCACGTTGTACCTGCTCACTACAAAACAGATCGAGGCCCTTTTTGTCGCAGCGAGGACGAGTTGCAGCGGTCAAAGGGTCCACGACAGTACTTGAGGGATTATACTACGCAGTTTGAAACGCAGTCGCCATCGGAAGCCCAGGAGTCACCGAAGTACAGTCGAGCATTTGAAATTCAAGCCAAGCAGCGACGGCACTCGTATGGCTTGATAAGTGATTACGCGGGAGATCGAGAGCTTGTGTATGAAGAAAATGACAAGGTGGACATCTTTGATCGAGAGCCGCCTATGCGTGCGCGGCAGTTTGACGTGAAAAGTGATGCGCGCATGATGTCGCATCGTCACAGACAGCAGGAGGACGCAGGTCGCTTTTACGAACTCAATCAGGCACAATTGCCACCCACACGAACGCGTGCTCGTTCAAGTGCGGCCCAGCAGCAGCGTGCACTCCCAGAGAGCAAGTCGGCACGATCAAAGGTGACAGTTTCCGCTGGAGCCGCGCGCCCACGGCTAGCGTCACATGACAGTCAAGTCAGCAACTCGTCGCAGATGAGTTTTGATGAGGCCGCTGGCGTTGTCGCTCGGGCGACGGGTAAGTCCGTGAAAGAATGCAAGTTTGGGGGTGTGCCAGTGCTTGACATCAAGGAAGGAACCGTGCAGTCAAAGCTGATGTATATTTACGCCAAGGCTTGCTTGGCGATGGAGAACAAATCTGACAACCAAGATGCGTTGGGAGACCACGAACCGCTCCGCACTTCCAGACACCCGGTCAGTCGAAAGACACACCCCAATTTTTTGTCGTACACCATTTTGCAGGATGACGCTGTGGTTTCGAAGTATAAGGAGAAAAATCGTGGCACCAGCAGCAGAGCTGTGGTCAAGCAGAAAGAGAAGCACAAGGCTGAATCTACCAACGAAATGGACTGTAGCATCACGCCTGGGGTCACCGACCACAGGCCCGATAAGAGGATGTGGACTATGCAAAAGGACATTGACATTACAGTGTCGCCGGTTGCTGACCGGCCTCATTCTTCGGTAGACCCGTCTTGTTTGACAGTCATCGATGCAGCCACCTCGACACTTCCTCCGCAAGCCCATGCGACCCCCACTGATGATTTCATTTCGCTCAGTGACTTTGCGGTGCAGGATGGAAGAGTGGTTGAACGCCGCCCTACATTGGGGTTTAGTAGCATTGCAGATACTCCAGTGCCATCAGCGGTGGGTGGTGATGCCGAAAAGAGTGAGGGACAGCAAGAGGAGCTTTCAGCGGTTGACGAGACGGATGTTAAGTGTATAGCAAGGATCAACGCTGAATCTATTGAGGGATGTGCGACGGTCGAGTCGAAGTTGACAAAGCCACCACACGACGCTTCTGATGATGGCCACCAACAAAAAGACCGAGTTGCGGTCGATCAACGGATGGAGTCGCATGAAATGATGACTGACGTGCCTGGAGGAGAGCAGAATGGTACTAACGTGCACGAGTATACTGACGAGATGCAAAAAGGTGCGGCGCGCGAGCACAAAAATGGGCACGAAGATGACGATTTTGCCAGCATCGGCGGTAGTAACGAACGAGGTTTGGCTGCAGGTGTGGCGTCTCTCGACGGTCTACTTGACTTTTCACTCAATGACGGCAGCCACGATAACGAGGAGTGTGTCTACGCTGATGCCGGTTACGGAGTAAGCGAGAGAACTGGTGCGGGTGAAATAGAGCCCGCAAGCACGTCGTTGATTACAAAGCTAGGATTTGATCATGCACGGAAGGTTAGCAAAACGAATGACAACGGAGATGATGAAGCCTTCGATGAGCGTGGAAAGCACAACGAGAACGGAGAGTACGAGGAGAACGATGTAGACGCCGGCGTTGAGGCACTGTCCGATCCGCTAGTGAGCACACTCTTCCACAACCACCCGGATGTTTGTGAGGTCATTAAGGACAAGCCTGCTTGTGCTGTGCTTGTGAAGAAAAGCATGATCGACGAGATTCAGGAGATACTTCAGAGTCTACAGATGGAGGTGCACTTTGAGCGTCACTCAACTACAGCATTTGGTTCAACGGCAAGTCCGTCGCGCAGTCTGCCACATAGCTGCGATACTGATGGTCAGCATTGCTACCGGTGCGGAACCACCTGTGAGCTAGTGGAGCTGGATATCGCACGAGGACAGCGTGAGCTCTACTGTCCAGAATGCTGTGAGATGTTTTTCTTCAGTGAGGATTGCCAGTCACCCGTGGCAAGAAGTAGCAAGGTGCTGCAGGGCGCAGATCGATTGACTGCTGATACGGATGCACCTGCTGAGGTAGTTCGATTTGATGACAGCTCCGTCACCAGCGGAGACATAGTTAACCCATGGCGGTACAACTTGCAACGTAGCGACACCTCGTCGTCTACTCGGGGCTCAGACACGCCGAGTATGACAAAACCGGTGGACGAAGTGTGGCTATGAGCAATTATGCATTACGACTTTGAGGCGTGCTTCAAATAGCTCGTCAAGTCTGGTTGTAAGTAATTTTGTAAAGTATGTTTGGGGGTGTCGAACAGTGGCTTGCTGGCGTGGAGAGCCGTACAAGTTGCGTCACGTGCTTGCTAATGATAAGCTTTTGTGGCGGTGTTCCCAGGTCGTGCCAAAACGCCTATTTAAGGAAAGGTGCAATGACAGGATGACCTATTCTTGAAATGCAAGTAATTATTTTGGGTGATTGTGCACGAATGCAGCAGCTTTGCGTGTTTACGTTCGAATTCTCTTAGGCGCTTTGCATGGCATTTCTGCAATATCGTGTGTGGATACTCAAGTCTTCATTCAAAATGCACACACGGCGATGTCGCACTGCTTCGTGTTCGTGGTTCTTGGACGTCCTTGCTCCAGCGGTACACAACTGTACAACAGGCGCAGCTGACCCGTCACTTTCTTGGAAATATATGGCAGCTATGCCGGTTGCAAGCACGTCTCCAGCACAAACGAATTTTTGATCACTCCGCGGTCAGGTGGTAGTAGGATCGCAGGCCTTTGCCAGTAAAAAAGTGCCGCTGGAATGTCGTTTGCATCGTTTTCTCGATGACTCGAGTCAGTCGGCGATCATTTCGTCGACAAAGTTTGTTAAAAACACAATGTTGATTCGTCTAGCCGCCTCTTGGTGATACGAAAATAGCTGACATTGCCAGCGCGATGCCGCGGACTGTCCTCACTCACACGGAGCAAACTCGTTTGCAGTGTGGTTTCCCCTGATCCAGAAAGACCCGAATAGGCCGAAGATGTGCTTGCTCTTTTGAGTTGTCCTCTTTGTCTGAGTTCGGTGGTCTATGTCGACGACAAACCCATGGACAGCTGTAGCTTGATGATGTTATACTGTGGTAACGTGAAGTCGGTTGAGAATAGTGGCATCAGTTGGACGGTCCTTTGGACAGTAAAGACGAAGGCTTTTGTTACGTCTGCGCCACAAGGCGAGACTTAGTCCTGGTCGCCATCTTGCCCGACAAACAGTAACCAAAGCTGCGAAGACGTGTATGAGCTGACCAGCCAATGCAGTGCAGATCTGGACGAGCATGGACAGGAGCAGAATGACGACACGGCTTCAGGCGTTTCGCCTTGTACGCCTTGCCACCAGCCGACCGAATTATGAGTGGGATGATTGTGTCGCAGATCAAGTGCTATGGTTCAAGCAAGGACGACGCATCTACGTAGCTAGTGTGCCTGATTGCAACTTGTGTGACGAGCCCGCGCGAGTGATAGGTTTTTGCGTCCTGTAGCTTCAACCCACTCGATTCTTCCCACCCAAGCTACTCTGACTTCGTCTCTGCGGACGGTCGGCTGTGATTGTGCCATAGCCGCCATTCTTGCGACCGTTGTTGTCACTCAGTTCCACGGCAAAACTTGGGTCTTTCGGTCAGTTTCCTTGACGTGCGGTCAGGTGCGTGTGTAGCACAAGCGAAGCTATGATTACCGAGAGATAAGTTGTGGTGTGACAGTCAAGTGGACTGAGTCAATCGTGGTTTGCCATGGGCTGTCTAGGTATGTCCTATCGTACGACGGACGTAGGACGGTAATTGCCGAAAACTGAATGGTGTAACGGTCGGCACAAGTATTGATTGGTCGGCGTTGCAGTGGTTGACGAAAACTCGACTGGATTGTGCGTGAAAGGAGAAATGCTGAAAGCGCTTAGCACGATCACTATTGAAGTCAAGCGGATGAAGGTGCCGTAACCCGGTAGATAAGAAGAGTATACCATGGGCCTTATTCATATGGTTACGCATCTGACAATGTTGTGTCTGCGCCGAAGCCTCGATCGGATGATGATGGTGAGAGGTACATTCGCGATCGCGGAAGCGGCAGCATACCACGTACAGCACCATTGATCGTTGGTGAAGATTGAGCCAGTGTGTTGCCTTCGCCGCATGACAAGACATTGGAACAGGATTACGCTATCCAGAGCGGCGGTCCTGACTGCTATACAATCTGATGGCTGCTTTCGATAAAGAGAAGCTTGATGGTGTGGCGTTGGTATATTCTACTGTAGCGCAGATCGATGGAGGTAGTAAGCAGCTGGGAGGCTACCTGGCTTGGATTTGTGTTGCAATCGCTATAGCCGACAAGCGGCGATTTATAGGTGGATGGACAGTGACTGTGCAATCCTTGTTCCGCTTGTATACCGGCACTTAATGTGACGAGTGTATGCAGCGTACCTCACAGCCTGGTACCAGCTCGATGATAAGTCGAATTCTACGGAATCTTCCGGAAGTTCGATCGTTCTATCTTACCTATTTTTATTCACTGCCCGCATGCTCGTTTTGAGACACAAAGATGTTTCGAGTATCAAGATCATGTTTTACGCTTCTTGATACCGCATCAGTTGGTCATGCCCAAGGAATGAGCATCGTAACTCTTGGTGACTTGGGTTCCGCTACATGTTTCTTGCCTGCGTTGCGGCGCACAGTGCAAGATCATGGCATGTGCTATGTGAGCTTGCTGTTCGTAATGGTCGCCGTTTTTGTCGACGATACCGATCGTAAGAGGAGCCAACAAGTAGAAGGTTCTGGTTGAGACACACTGTCAAATGCTATCTAACTGTACCTGTCCTGATTGCATGACAATGTAATCAATTTGTGGCATTTGAGATGATGTGCGCAACCTGCACAGCCAACGATACGTGGTCAAGCAAGTGTACGTGGTACTTGTAAACAAAGTAACCGCAACAAAGCCCTGCACCGACACCGGAGCTGCCTATTATAAGCGACCAAGGGTATGTAAGGTGTAGAGTACGGTGCGTCACTACGCTATGTCGGAACGGATGACACGTCGTTTCCTACACTGTTTTGCATACAGATGACACGTCGTTTCCTACACTGTTTCGCATACAGATACACGCGCTACACACGCACTTTGCCGTGACATGTATGGCTTGACGCCTGTGCCTGTGAAAGTAAGCACAAAAAACAAAGGCTTTGATGTGCAAAAATGTATGTTGTCTGTCTATTCAGAGGATGTAACCGAACATGTTTTTCCTACAAAGACCCTGTCTGCGTATGTCCGCGGTGTCCCATCCACCATTTCTTCGCCATCATTCCAAGACAAGTTCTTCGACACTACAACCTCCTTATCAGCGCAGTCCAAAAGCGTTTCCAGCAGTGTGTAAGTAGCAGCATCATGTTTCTGCTGATTCTACTGCTTAATTTAATCTTTCATCGCGTCAAGGTGTCGATTCGCAAGAAACGTTATGTCTTGTTCCATATTAAGGAGCTTGTAGACTTGCTGAGGCGTTTTACCATCTTATAACCACTTGTCGCCATTGTCCCTGTACTGCTTCACCTTTTTCTTATACTTTTATGGCAGATCAGAAAAATCCACGATTCGAGTGTTGTCTGTGAATCTGCTGGATTTGATGGGAGTTTAACCATCCTTCGAAACGCTGCACTGCCATGCATACCATGATCGACTACTGGTTGGGTATGTTCATTGAACTTCTGTCGATCTGAAGGCGTCATTCGATAGGTGGCATCGGTGTTGACCCAGCTCTTTGGTGTGAAGTGTGGCAAACTGTTGCCTACGAGAGGTGTGACCTTATCGAAAAATTTAGTCGTCGTCTCCTCGGCAATAGTGGTGTTACCTGTCTTCGGCAGCCCGTACACAGGGACGCCGTTGTGATCGTCGACACGCAGGCGATCACCGGATGAGACTCCGCCTTCCGTCGTGTTGGCGCCTGGCGCACCCGAGAAACTCGTGATACTCGTAATACTCACCGAAATCGCAGCGAACGCCAGGAGATCGACAGCGTACATCTTCATTGTCACGCAGCGTCGTTGGCCTTCCTGGGGCGAGAGGGCAAGTTTTGCAATGGCCAAAAGAACCGCAAGCAAAGCCCGGCAGAACACGAACTAGAGCAGAGTCCTAATTTACTGATTCTGGGCAGTTGTATCTTCTGTTTCACTGTATAATTGGAGTGCCGTTCCCCAGAGTAAGCGATTTTGCAGCTCCTTTTCACGTGACTGGACAAAAAGAATCGCGAGAAACGCGATGTACCGTAAAACATCGCTACATGAGTACTGCTGGGATGCCACTTCTAAGTTAGAAAGGTTATCGTTTTGGACGTATGTAGCACCTCCTACCATTCATATTGGACGCGTCAGATACCCCAACCCGATGACATCCGTAACCTGCTAGGCTATCTTGCTGGGCGGATTGCTTCGTACGTTCCGGACATGAATGACATCACCACCTCCCACTTTTCAAAACTCGTCACGAGGACGAGTAAGATGACAGCCAAGGACGGCCAAAGATCACTGACGCAAATGCTCAGAATTCAGTCGAGTTGCTTGGATGATTCTGGCTGCAACAGGCTAGCAATGCGCAGGATTTCATCAAGTCACTACAGCAAATGCAGAAAAAGGTGGGGGCGGCCTGCAAAAATTAAATGGGTGCAGGCAGTCTCATGAAAACTTCTTCAGACGTGTTTGGGTAGTGCTCCACATCCTTTTACAGAATCTCAACTTGTGTTTGATCTAAGCTATAGAAATTTACAACCGGTACCTCGAATGGTATTTGATCATCAAATAGAGAGTTATGAGCGACTGTGTGTGCCCAACCTTGGAACGTCGGCTGTCTGTTATTTTGTAAAAATGCGTTCTTTTGTCCATATTAGTTTAGACAGGATCGACTGTATTCACATACAGCGCGGTCAAATTGGTGCTACACGAGTCTTTTCGAAAAAGACGGTACTTTTTTCATGATGTGTTTCTTTATTTTTTCGCTACGGTATACAAAGATCGGATCAGGTACGTGCTTTGTTAGGGAAGCTTCTGAAGTTTGCGTTTAGCAAAATCCTTTTTGTACGCATTTTCAACCGATGTTCATCGCAAGCGTTTTTTCTACTACGCCCCAATGTCCACCACGCATCCTCATAGCATGCGCTACATACACGCTTCAATTTGTTGACATTTTTTTATCGAACTCGAATCATCTCTGCAAATGCATGTTTCAACTACAACCTCTACGGATGCTGATCTGGATACGTCGCGTCGCTTTGCTGATGCTCCGGATCCCGTAGCGGAGCTACCACAGCTTTCTGCTAGAGTAGCGCTTCAACTCGAAAAGCCGCCTCGTTCGTAGAACGAACAACGAGTCAACGAGTCAACAAGATCAAAGAATACAAGTCAAGTAGCCGACTAGTTCTTAGGGCAACGACTCAACAAATTTACTAGCTCACAGAGCCTCTATCTAGTCCTGGTTCGAGCGACTTCACGATCGGAGAGTCTGCAGCACCAAGTGCTCGATGTATGGCTTAACAAGGCTCGTAAACTCGAAACGACCTAAGACGCCTCAGCAAGACATGCGTCATATAGTGATCAAAATGTGAGCTGATGTATTTCATTTTTGCGCGGGGATAAAAACTCGTCGAAGTACTTAAAGGTAATGCTTACCCTCTACTTGTGCAAAACCCGACACGTATTGCTTAGGTGGCCAAAACGCTTCCACTTCCGTACTTGGTACTACCTGATTTCATTGGGTGGTTTACCACAGATCGTCCCACCTGGCGCTCGCCTTTCCTTGTCTCAGCTGTCGAGTTGTCAACGTAATGGCCAGTCAGGTGAAGTCGGACCTTACTCGTAACAGATCGTGCGGTTGAACCTCAACACCCGTCAAGACTGGTAAACAAACCTGACGGAACCGACATTTGTGAACTGATACGCACAAACGATGTTCGGAACAGTACGACGCGCTTTACGCTGGTGTAAAGCGGTGAGCCCAACACATGATAGGAACCTTTTCGTAGACGGCAAGAAGCTCTGTACTGTCGTAGCGGACAATACTACGGGAAATCACCTTCAATCGTAAGCTCACCAGCAGATAACGATACTCTGTTGTGGAGTGACACAAGAACTGACACAAGCGTCTAGCTCATTTGTCCAGTCGAAACGCGCGCAAAGCATAATGAGCAATTTGTCGAAGTATACTATCGGATTTATGTATTGTGCGCAACAACGGTTTGATGTGGTTTCTTCCTGCTGCCTCGGGTAAGCAACCCGCTCGATCTGACTGGTGTCGGTTCAAATTCTCCTTCGATCGAACTAAAGTCGTTCAAAGTTATGCGCTACACACTAGCCTCATTGGAACCAAGTTGGGAACCCTAGTACCAGCGAGCAGGGCCTCTCGAAGAAGCATGACCCCCAACAAGGAACAGTTGGAACTGTCTGGTCCGGATGGCACCCAGTGAATGCGGCAGAAACGCCCGTCGCGTGGTACGATAGCCACGGCCGGTAAGGGATGTGTAGGCCCGAGCCGAAGAGGACAGTAACAGGTCGGCAGAATGCTAAATGCACCAGCTGGACCTAAAATATATGGTTTCGAGCAGTTCGTATTACAAGTCATTCACTGTATGAAATATCGTTCTCTTTTTCGATTCAACAAAACGGCTCTTGTTGGTTCAGTTGTTGAGCGCTTCTTCCTGCACTCATGTCGAGACGAGCCTTCATTGCAACGCATTCGCACATGTGAAAATCGCCATGTAATGCCATACTGCGACGGTCTGCATAAATCGTCACGGTGTATACGATTGACACTGAAAAGCCCCATTTGGTGGCGCCCTTTCTTCTAGATTTGTCCTTACCACCATCAGCCAAGTCAAAGGAACATCGTTGCGTCATCGACGAAGAACGAGCCTTGATCGAGAAGTCGCTTACAGTCAAATCGGTGCTGGATGTTTCCGGGGAACTCGTGGTGCATGTCAGAATCCCTACAAAGCCAGGAGTAGATGTAAAGAACGTGCACGTTCAAGCGGTATTGCGCTGCATTTTGCGCTCAGACATGTCAAGTTCATCTTGACGCGTCTAGACTTGCAGATCCGTCTGGAGAATTTGGCTTGCATCAGACCTTGTAGAGCGCACATTTCGCTGAGGCAAGAAGCCAGGGAAACCTGCTGCCCAACCAAAATGCTGACCAGAATATAGGAACAAAGTATCGACACTTTGTTATGAATTAGCGTCGACGCTAAACAGGAGTCGGCTTTTGTAGGTGAGGCAGTCCACACAATGTGAGAGCTCGTTTGTTGTTTCTTTCGGGCACCCAATTGATGCGAACCTTTAGTACAAGACGGTCAGAGAAAACTGATTCAGTACCTCTAACGGGAGCTTTATTGACATCGCTGTCCATAGCCAATCTATCGAGCCATGAACTGCTTTACGTACTTCGAAGCTGCACAACTACACACAAACAGAATTGGGTAAAGACTTGGCTGAGAAAAACAGACAGGTCGCACAAACATGGCAATCTTCCAGCACGGCAGCAGCAATCGAGTGGTACTGTGTGCTCGCGCGAGATATCACTCGGCAGTCAGCAGCGCACCGCAGATGGACTGAGCTTCTCGGAGCTTGCCCGTGAAGCGCAGAAGCTCGGTCCAAAATGAGCGCTGTCATATGCTGCTCGCCCAGTCGTCGACGATATTTTACATTCCCATTTTCTTGCTCGATTCCTCGTCTATCCATGCTTACACGCCTTGTGGTGGTACATGGTGTAAATCGCAACTGATGAGTCCTTGCCTAATTCTTGGCCTTTGCGAGACGCGAGGCGGAGCTAGATCCAGAGCGCGGAAGCCATATCTTTATCGAGCAATCTGCTGACGCAGAAGCCAGAATAGGCTCGGTGGGGTGAAAATCCACGCAGTACACGCGGTCAGAGTGGCCATCGATCTTCTGCACTACAGTTTGCGCGTGTTTACCCGAACCGCTGGCGTCGATAGCGTGCTTTGACGGTGTCACATCGTGTAGATATATATGATGGTCGGCACTTCCAGTGGCAAGTAGCAGCCTTTCATCCGAAGAGCTCAGAGATCCACGCTCTTCGCTCGGGTCTACAAAATCCTCTGCGTCACTATCCGCGAATTTGTGCCGCAAGCTAGTGCCCAACGTGCCACCCAAGCTACCTTCAAGTCTCCCTCGAGGCGGCAGCGCCAGCTTGTACTTGTAGCCATCTCCACGGAAGAACGAGCTCTTGATAGGCCAGTTTTTGTTCTTATGACCCGACACTGAGCGCACTAGCTGTAGCTGGTCATCACGAACGTCGTTGCCTCCAGCAGCCCCGCGTCTCGAACCGCGAGAGCTAATAAGCTTAGAGCGTCGATCGTACACACGCAAGACATTGTCATAGCTGTTGACGCCAAGGAATCGCCCATCGTCCCCACCGTCACTGGCTGGCGATGCGTGAATGTGCGAAATGGCGTGTTTGGCTGGGTCATTCAGCACCGACAACTCTTCCAGACACGTATCCATCCGGACGTCCCAGAACTTCAACATACCCTAGAGGTCATACAGCGTAACAGCAACAACAACACCAACAACGTACACCACACGCTTAGCACATTCAGCATGCTACGTGCGTAACCCCCAAGAAGACATCAGCCAAACCTTGCTGTCGCCCGTTGTGATGGTAAGGCCGTCATGCGAAACGTGCACTGCGTTCACCATGGCGTCGTTCGACCACGTGCGATAGACGTCGGAGCGTGCGTCTGCCATGTGCAGACAGCACTTGCTGGTTCCCAAGAAGAACTGGTTGTTGTCTTGTTTTTGCACACAACACATCAAGATACGCGTCACACGTGCCATTAGTCCCATCTTTGTCCCTCCCATCCATAACATAGACCAACGCAGTGCGTCGCTTCTTCGTCGTGTGCTCACACAGTACCAGCCATATTGAACGCCACACACTGGACGAGACCTTCCACCTCGTGGCTCGTGAGCAGCTGGTTCTTCTCCACGTCCCAGAGCTTCACCGAGTGGTCGTAACTAGCCGACACGAGCGTCGCGCTGTCCTCTGCCCAGCTCACGTCAATCACGAGCTGCGTGTGGCTCGAAAGCGCCGCCAGCTGCGACTGATTGAACTTGGTCGTCACGTCCCAGAGCATCACTTTGCAGTCGAACCCGCCGGACGCCAAGAGCCGCCCGCAAGGCGAGAACTTGGCCGTGTACACCGCTCCTGCGTGGGCCCGCAGCGTCGACTTGTGCACTAGCACACGAGCATCTCCGTCCGAGTCCGTGTCGTACAGCTCTCCTTTTGCACCCAAAAGCGGCCCTCCAGAGCTGCCGTGCGTCCGACGGAACGACGACGACTCTGCTGTGGCCGGAGAAGCTGGAGCTGCTAGGAGATTCGCCAGGGCAAAGGGCTCTGCGGCCGCAGCGCGGGTCAAGGAAGACGGCGCGTGCACCGAGTCGAGTCTAGGAATGGAGCAAGAGCTTTGGTCAGTTGCGTTTTAGTTGTGCATCTACGGGTGCAAAGGACCTCGCAAGGGGTAGAAAGCTGCTGCTATGTAAATAGAGTGGGTGCCGTACTTGAGGGTGAGCTCGTACACCGAGCGCTTGAGGTCGTGGTTCTCCTTGTCCAGCTTCTCCACGTTCGTCCGGAGCAGTTTGTTCTCCTTTGCCAGCGACTGGAAACGCACGGGAATCGTACACACAAACAAACACACGCGTATACGTTATCGATACACGTAACGAGCATCAAGAGACGAAGACAGAGACAGACAGAGCAGTTGAACGGGAAGGCACAGTCGAGATGGACGACGAACCTCATACTGCGTGCGCAGGTGCGTCTCAGACGCCATGCAGAATTTTGGTTCTGGCGAAAGACCCTGCAAAATTGATCACGCGTTCCAGTATGTCATTTGACAAGATCTCTGCAACATCATATGCACCAGCTACGACAGGATCTCTCTGCCGACCGACCTGTTTCGCGGGTCTGCCTGCCCCTCTTTTGTCGATCGATCGATTGATTCATGTAAACCACACGAGCTGCACACACCGACACGAAGAGAGGGCGAGAACGAGTCGGGAGCGCATGACGGAGACCAAGACGACGCTGGTCGTGGGCGTGCTGGCGCTACAAGGCGCGTTCGCCGAGCACATGGCGATGCTCGAGCGTCTGAGTGGCACGCTCGATCACGGGGGGTGACAGTCACGGCCGTGGCCATCCGCCTGCCCGAGCAGCTCGAGAACGTGGACGCCCTCGTGTTGCCTGGTGGCGAGAGCACGACGATTGGCAAAGTGGCTGTGCGCTGGGGCCTCGTGGAGCCACTGAAGAAGTGGGTGGCCGACGGTCGCCCCATTTGGGGCACGTGCGCTGGCATGATCATGCTCAGCCAGCACGCCAAGCACACGGAAGAGGGCGGCCAGACGCTGATCGGCGGGCTCGACGTCCAAGTGTCGCGCAACTTTTTCGGTGCGCAAGTCCATAGCTTTGAGATGCTCGTGGACGGCCCACCGGGCTTTAACGACCAGCCCTACAATGCTGTGTTTATCCGTGCACCTGCGATCATTTCGGTGGGGGAAGAGATTGAGGTGCTCTCTCGAGTCGCTGGCGCGACGCCCGCAGACGGCTCGGACCCGAAAGACGTGATCGTTGCCGCGCGCAAGGACAATATCCTGGTGACCGCCTTTCACCCGGAGATCACGACCGATACGCGCTGGCATCAGTACTTTATTGAGACGATTGTCTTGCCTCGAGTGTAGATAGAGAGAGAACGAGAGGATGTCTGCATGATGATGACATCTGTCGACGACGGACCACGGCTGAGGAAGGTCTTGTTTTCGGAACAACGTTGGAAAGCGTTCGTTGATAGGCGTTGCTATTGTTCTTCGTGGTATTTGTCTATCAAAGGGGGTGGGCAGTCAATGAGCTACCAACACTGCTGCTACTGCTGCTTGCCGTCAAGTGTCCGTTGCAGCTTGCCAACTACGAAGCAAGAACACGGATCAGCACGAGACGAGTGTCACAGCGTCCTTCGCTCTTCTATGAGACCTCAACGCACAAGACGAAGCCGCACGGAGTCGAAAAGAGGATCGACACGCCTCCGCGAATCGCACGGACGAGCGCATCCAGCGCTGCCTAGCCCTGGGCCGCATCTAGTGCGATACTTGAGTAATACTTGACGTCCATGTCGGGATCGTTCACTAACTCCGTCAGGCAGGGTCTAGAAATTGCACGTACAACACAACGCAGTCAAGTTCTGTACAAATGCCAAAGACCCGCAGACAGAGCAGATCGCTGTTGCTGAACGTACCGGACTTGTGCCGCAACCACAGATGCATCAGCGAGTTTGCACAGCTGCTCTAAGCTCATGGAAGCCACGAATCTAACATTAGGGATCTTGTCGTGGGCGCCACGAATGGCCAGTGTTGTCATGAGATTCAACAAGTCGTCCGACACCTTCTCCACGGCCAACTGCTTCAGCGCGTGGAGCACATTGACGCGCTCCTGGTAGATAACAGACTTCTCAAAGATCTGGATCAGGCGAGGCATTACGTTCTGAAGGATGCTGTCGCTGCCCAGAGACTCCAGTAGCTGCGGTAGGATCTTCGTTGCACTCAAGCGAACCTCGCCAACCATATCGGTGAATGCGCTGACATAGGTCTCCAGCAAGTGCTCCTGGAAATACTGGGCGCCCAGACTGCCGGCGAGGGCAGGAATCGATAGCACCACTGCCTCACGCACACGCCACTGCAGGTCGCGTGCCAAGTCCGCAATAGCTGGCAGAAGGACCGACTCGAACGAGGACATCCATTGGGCAAGAAGCTCCATCCGCTTCAGAATGTTTAATCGCACGTCCACAATCTCATCACGCAGGAAGAGAAGCAGCAAAGGGGCCAGTGTCGACTTGGACGCGGCTTCGCCAAGCTTGGGCGCAAGCTCCATGCACGCAACGGAAACAGCCGCTGCGGTTCGAGAAACGCGTCAACAGCAAAACAGAGTTAGCATTGCGTCACGTGACAGTCTGAATGGAACAAAGCAAAGATAGCACGTACTGCGGACATTAGGCGCTGTGTCCTGCGACAGTGCCGATAGCAGTGGAAGAATCTCACTCATGAACAACTCGTTCTTGACAATAGAGATGTAGCCCGACAAGTTCTTTGCAGCGGCAGCGCGCACTTCAGCTTCCGCGTCCTACACATGACGACAAGAACGACAACATCAGCAGCGCACATGACATGTAACACAACTCTCTCTCCCTACGATTCGCATTGCATCCAAACCTGAAGGAGATTGGTAAAGCAACCGAGCAACTCGGACTCTGTGATTTGCGATCCCATAGCGCGTGAAAGCGGGAAAAAGTCTTTGGCGATGCTGAACCGCACGCGCCACGAGCGGTCCTCCACCGACGAACGCACGATGGGAAGCACGTGCATCATGTTGTCATTCTCCGACAACAGCTCAGCAATCGCCGTCGAGTTCTCAATAGCCAGCAAACGCACACTGTCCTGGTCGTCCGCCGTAAGTGCTCGGAAAAGCGGCAGAATGATGCCTGCAATGTGCTCTTTCTCCATCGCCGCAGCAAACTTGCCAATGTTGGCAGCAGCAGCGCGGCGCACCATCGGCGTGTCATCGTTGCCCATCGTCTGATAAAAGCTGCACGCTCACATCCACCAATCAGTCTGTTGCATGTTCGGTAGCGAAAACACACACACCACACGCCGACTACGTACTCGCGTAGCTCCTTTTTGCGTCCAGCGTCGGCCAACTTGCTGTAGATCGACGCAAAGAGTGCGCACACGGACACGCGCGACGTAAACCAGTCTCCTTCAGCCAGACGCTTGGCCAGTGGCACCATCACGTCGTCCACGTTAGGCACCACTGCCACCACCTTCTGCAACGAGTCGACAGCACGGTCTCGCACCACCGTCTCCTCGACTCCAGCCAGGACTTCGAGCGGCTCCACTAGAATAGAGGCGTGTTCTGCACCACCGACGAGGTCCACGAAACCGCCGAGTTCTTCGGCAAGCGCCACAACCACTTCGTCTTCGTCCTCTGTGGCTTCTGCTGCAGCACACGACCCACACGTTCGCGGCCATTGGTTCCATAGTCCCACGATCAATCGACAGAACGAGAGAGAGAGAGTCACGTAGAACAAACAGCTGCTGCTGCTGCTACTTACCACGAAGAAACGGCAAGAGATCCGAGCGGGTGCGCTCGGGACCCAGCGCTTGTGCTACAGTGCGCAGACGTCGCATGGCTTTGATCCGCGTCTCGACTTCGTCGCTCTTGAGCTCTTCGGTCAGCAGCGTGAGGGGGGTACACTTCGTCCTCTGCAAACACATACAACCAACCGATATAAAGTTATACAGAGACCGAGCGAGCGACACAGAGAGAGAGAGAGAGCGCGCGCGCGCGATAGGGAGAACGAGTGTGAGTGCGGTCCATCCTGCACGACGCAAGTAGAGGTCTGCTGGACGGCTAAGCGCGTCGGACGCACCCATTGTGGCGAGAGGAACGAGGGGGGAGCGCGGTATGGGTCGGTCGGGAGTGGGCGTATATGCAGTCTGGCTCTGCTTGTTCTTTGCCTCACGTTGTGTGGTGCACGTGAGATTAGGCACTCGAGCAGGACGAGGCAGTGGCCAGTGGCTACATTCATATATCTGGTTGTGTGTATGTGTGTGTATGTCGCTGCGATACCACGGGGACGGATGATTATCGACCAATCACAGGAACCGTTTAACGACCACGAAGCCGTGCAAGCGGTCCCCATCCGGCGATGGCGGCGATGTGCGTCGAGTGCGAAGATACAGTGGCCGCTGTCTGCTGCGAGGACTGCGAAGACGTGTACTGCCCGCTGTGCTTCAAGGCGCAGCATCACGCCGGCTCGCGCTTGAACCACCGGACGACAGACGTACTCGGAAGCGCGAGCAGCAGCAGTAGCATCGCAGTGAGTCCTATATCACATCGTGAAGAACCTGCTGAGCCTCTTGTGGCGCATATACCGCTGCCAGCAGACACACGGGCTATTGAACCACCAGCAGAAGCGGTAGTGGCGGTATCTCCAACGGCCCTCAGTTTGACCCACGAAGAAGCGTCTGAAGCAGACGATTCCGAGGACGAGTTGATGGCGCGTGAGATCGAAGCGGTTCCGTCGGCACTGATGAAGGAAGCGGCGTACATTCCGTTGCGACTTAGTGAAGACGAGCGGGCGCTGTTCAATCTGCTGGATGCAGCGCTGAACGTGAGCGAGTACACGGACGCAGTCGACGTGCTGTCGTCCTGCTCGCCACTCAAGCGCATGCTCCGTGAACTCAATGAGACATTTGGTGTTCTATCGGGGCTCTTGATTGCCAACGATTTTCGCCAAGGTCGTCGGCTTGTGCAGGAGAAGCAGTTCAAGGACAATGAGGACTTTTTCGGTCGCGTGTTTGAGATTGGCCGTCGATACAAAGTGATGAACCCCGAACGCATGCGCAATAACTACGGCAAGATGATCTACATGCTGCAGGATGCCAATGTTCGTGAGATTCGCAAGCATCTCGGCTTCTCGTGCGTGGCACCGATCAAGACGGTCGCAACGTTGCTGGAGGAACGCCAAGCTCTTGACATGCTGCGGGATACGCGGTGTGCAGTGGCGACGTCTGTCGCTGCTGCTACGACCGCTGACTTGCTTGCAAGTCCGCAAAACTTGCAGCGTTTTTTGCGTGATAAGCAGCAGGCGATCGACGAGCTGGTGCGTGATTACTCGTCGGCGTCGTTATCGGAAGAGGAGATTTGTCTGTGTCTGGCATCGATTGCGGATAGTCAGAGCTATCTAGCATCGAATCGTGCACCAATCACGCGAATGATTGGATACTTGGAGCAATATTTTAGACCAGAGAAGCCTGAGTACGGTTTTAGTCTTGAGATCAAAGCCGGTAGAAATGGCGCGCGACTCAGTCACAGCCACGCGAGTCAGTACGAGTACGTGTTGCAATCGCTACTGCTTTGGAAGAACATCACCACCTCCATGCTGCGTCTGTGGTGGGCAGTGGAGGACGATCTATTGGGTGGAAGCATGTATCGACTCCGTGACACTGGCCAGGGTCTCAACCGCATGCAGCATGCACCCGAGACGTCTCGCTTGGTACACTCGATCTTGCACCAGACGCAAAAGATGCGTCCTCGGTGGGTAGGCTCTTCGATGGTGCATCTCGGCGACCACAATGTGCCGAATGCGCTCATGTTTATTGACAAGTATACGCAGATATCTCGCATCCTGAGTCCGATCGTGAACACTGTGCATGAGATTCCAGTGCTGGCAATACAGCCTAATACGCGCGCGTACATTGAGGACAGCTTTGGCGGCGCAGAGACGCTCCAGAAGCGTATTTTGTGTGACTTTTTCAAGCACGGGTTTGACGGCAGTGGTGCGGACAATTTCTTCGATGCCGGCTCATGCATCGATGGCCGCTTGACTAGCGCTTGGAATTGGTGCTCTCGGATCGAGAAGAAGTCGTTCTTTTACGTGTTCCTCATGGCAGGATTTGTCGGGTTCGATGGACACTTTGAGAAGTAAACGGCGACGAGACTGCATGAGATCGAAAAAAACACCGATTGGACGTCACTCGCTGCTGTGGTCTCGGCAAGCGCTTGTTGGACGAATGAGGTGCACCGTGACAGCCTCACGTAGCCGGGTGAGTAGTTTGCTCGACGTCAGCTTATCAGCCTTTTGTGCAGGCTCCGCGAGGTCATTCATGCCAAGTCAGCGAGTCGAGTTCAGGCGTTTGCTAACCTTGATACCTAACTACTAACGACAAACAAATGTGGCTTGACTATCCGAAAGCGCTTTGTTTGACACGAGCACGAGCTTGGCTTTCTTCTTTGCCTCTACAACAACGACCAACGATACGAGCCCGCCCGTTATACGAGGTGGTGGTGGTAGTTGCTGTGAGGATAGCCGGCTCCAGTCGATGGACAATGCTGCATCCATCCGGATGCAACAACCGCCGAGCTGCACTGGTGCTCGACGTTTCGACGGCGCGGAGCGTCTGGACTCGGTCGATTCCAAGTCGAGAGGACCATGAGCTTGTGCTCCGACGTCGCTGCGTTTGTGTAGTGCACAAAGTCCACTGCTCGCTCTTCGGGCGTCCGAGCGCTGTGGTGTATAGAGCCCTGCGACCCGTTTGTAAAGTGCGCGACGTGCTCCAGCACGGGTTCGATGTCCAAGAGCAGGTGTTCCAAGTACCGGTCGTCGTGTGCAGCCCCCTGCACGTGGCTGTCCTCACGTTTCCACTCTTGTCCGCCCTCGTCTTCCATCATCGGGTCCATCACGTCCATAAGGTCGCACGCCCCAACGTCCTCTTCACCGCACGCGCTCTTCCCACGCATAGCACCACCGTCACGGACGATCGTCAACGACATGAGACGTGGCCACGCGAACGCGTTCCGGCCATTTGCTGGCGAACACGATGTTAATGTCGTCGCCTTTGTCGTTGTCGTCGACGCTTTCGACTTGGGGCCGGTGGAGCCCTTTGCGTGGCTCCGGACGCGGCGTTTCCAGCGACTGAGTTTCTGGCGGAGTTTCTGGGCGTGCGTCATGGCTTGACGGGTGGACTTGGAGCCCACGTAGGCGGCAATGTCGGTCCACGGACCGTGCGGGAAGCACTGGAGGGCGTCCCAGAATCGACGCTGCTCAGTGGGGGACCACGCGTGCTCGCCAGGCCGGGGGACAGTGAATTGGGTCGGCACGCGCTTTGCTTCGTGGAGTTCGCTCATGACCGTCGACGAGATCATTGTCGCTCTTCTCGATGGACGTACTAAGGGACACTCGAGCAAACCGTTTGGCGCGTTGAGCGCGACTCGTGCAATGGGGCAGTGATGAGGAGAGCTCTTCGGATGCGTCAGGCGGACGAGTTGGGAGAACGACGGACGTTACGACGCACGCGAACGTATCCGAAAAGAAGACCGTCTCATGTCCACGTTAGCTGTCTGGATAGATGGCTCGACCTGTCGCCCGTCAACCGGTCAACCGGTCGAGATGGACCCGCGTTCGGCTCGGGGAGGGGGGGGTTGACGTTGGAAAGAGGCGGTTGCTGAGACAGTAGCGGTGCGCCCGGCGACGGCGCAGGAAAAGGTCGGTGCGAACGTCAACAGGCCACGTGAGGTCGACCCCGACGGAGGGACGGACGATCTCGCTGCTTGCACCCGCCGAGCCAAATCTTGGCAACTGTGCGTGCATCGAACTGGTCGTTGGTGCAGACGCTCTGCAGCGCTGACTTGTGTGTGTGCGTTGGTTGTAATGGCCACAGAAAGGTGACAACGACGCGTCTGTGGACTACGTCCTCGTCGCTGCGTAAGGCCGATGATCGGATGAGGGATGTTTTCTAGTTCCAACGTGTTGTGCGTGCAAGTACTGTTGACCTGCAAGTGAAAAAGGTCACAGCTTACGCCACGGAGAAGGGCAGTCTGCGCTTCTGCAGTGGAGTAGAGCCTGGAAACTCGACAGGAGCTTCTGGTTGTGACCCCTTTTATCAGTCAATTCACTGTTCGTACCTGAACCGCATGCTGAGGTCGCTGGTAACGAGCCTTCGACCATCTAATCGGCTACTCTCTTGCAACGACGGCAATACCCCATCGCAAGCACTGGCTGATGGCAGGATAGTACGACAGATGCAGCAGGGACACGCATGACGATTCCACACGGACGCACGACCGCTTTTCCTTCAGCTGTGGTATCGAGAAACGCTAACGCTTCTTCGGGCAGGTCATATATATAGATACATAGGATTACGATCGGTCGATCTTTGCTGCAACGGGACATCTGTATTGAAGTTGCTCCTGTGGACACGTTCATGAATGGCACCTTCGGAGTGGTCGACGCTTCAGAGCTCATCGCTTTTTGTCGTGCAGGAAGATCGATCGTTAGATGGGGTAAGTCGTGGCGTCGTCGAGCTCGGGAGCGCCAATCCTTGCGCCAAGCCCACTCGGTGGTGGGTGTCATGTTGTCTTGCTTTCGATGAGCTCGACTGCCGCAAATTCCAGTAGTTCCGTGCTTAGACCGGTGCTTACAATCGTCGAAGATGGTCGTCAAGTCACAGCGGTGCGAGAGACGCGTCCCGCGCACAAAGGTGCAGATGGGGTGATTGCACTGCCGTCGAGTTGTCGATCGGTCGTTCGCTGCGTTTGCGAGCACCTGCACGGATCCTTGAATGTCCACTTGCACGCAAAGGCAGCATAGCGGGTGCGAGCTGTGACGCTATGGCGCTAAGAAGGTGTTTGCATCTTACAGGACACCTCAAGTTAAACTGCTTGGGCTGCCTCGATGTCGACAGAAGTGTCGGGGATGCGTTGGTCCGAAAGGTTGGACTGACTGCAGGTCCTTTTTGTTCCCCACCTTCAGCATGTCAAATCTCGAGCGGCTCAATCTGACAAACAATCCTACCGCTGAGACATTTCGGGGCTGTCAAGCCATGGCGTTGCATGGATGCCGATGCTGCAATCGCATGTATACTACTGCCCCTGCTGATGGGTAAACACCGAAGGCGCTTGTGTTGTCGTGTAACCCCTCCAGTCTGTTCGACAAGTTGAGTTAGAAATGAGTCACACGCCGATCCAAAAGGAGCAAGTACGCTCGCCAAGCATGACTGGTCCGTTGTGATGGCCATCTATCGCCCATTCGTTTAGCAGGTTTTGATTGCAGAGCTGCTGGCGACGTCGATGCAGGTGGCACAATACGATGTGTTGCAGTTTAACCGCACTCCTGACTTTGTGGCTGCTGTTTGAGTAGCCATCTCCGCATCATCGGCGTATCGGATATGGATGTACTATGTAAAAGTACAAACTGGATGCCTCATTCAAGCAGCCAAAGCAGTACAGCGCTACTGAAAGTATCGGCCCGCTTCTTGCAAACAAGGTGTCCATCGATCTCGATGCCCTCGCTCTGGGCGCACGACAAAGACAAGACGATGTACGCCGCATGACGCATTGTTCGAAGGATACCTGGATCGTCATCGAAAAGTCAGTTGCTCGAGCGACTTATGTTGAAGACCGCCGCATAAAGGCGTTACGTTGTGATCGCTGGCTGCACTTCCTTCTTCTCGAGTTCGAATTGTCGGGCGATTGTCTTTCTGCATTCAGCTTTGCGAGCATAGGTCTGCTGGAGCACTGACCCCACGCCCTTTGTCAGTCCTCTCGCGCCTCAACGAGGCGTAGGTCACTCTTAACAGACAGAAATCGCCAAAGCGTACCAAGTCATCCGCAAGCGGCGTGTTACGCGCAAGTGGTAAAGACAAGACCAAGCCGCGACCCGAGTGGCGCTGCTCGCTCGATAACGTTTTCCCTGATCTCTACCCATACACCAGGAATGTCTGCAAGAACGCAGCGTGCGGCAATGCTATTTCGTCTGCTAAACGTGCGTGTCAGTGTGGAATGAAACTAAATGTACATCATTTCGTTGTCGCGGCTCACTGGCGATACGGTCGCCGTTCTATGAGGAGCTCCCCAGGAAGCCACCACAGTGCACAAATGTATCAACGTCTTCGAACCTGAGCAGCGCCTCAATCAGGAGATGCACTGATCGGAGGTTCAAGGCTCTTTTCGGTTGGCATTCAGACGTCCAGCTGCTACAGTACTACAGGGACAATGCCGCCACCAAACGTTCTCTGTTCCAAGACATGGCCGTCTTGGAATGACCTACTACCAGAGCTTCTCTCTCTCTACATCTCGAGAAGATGTATGTTTAGTCACTGACGACACGCCCCATGTATGGCCGCTTTGCTGCCTCTTCCGTGGTCGGAGTAGACGACTGCAATGCGTCGACACGTCGGGTATCGGATATCTGGGAAGCACCCGGTTGACCATCTCGTTGTTGGACGACAAAGTAGCAAGGGACTCTTGTGTACGTACAAGTAGCTCGCACGCCGTTTGCGTGTACGACCACAGCAATTGTCATCGATGTCGTGATTGTGATTGCTTGTGCAGCATACTGACCCGCAGTGCGTGACAACCTTATAAAGCGGACATCCCTCTTGACTTTGCGATCGATAAACACGGAAAGTTTAGCGCGTACCTATAAACCCACCACGTCGATGTGGCCAACAATAACCCATTGACACAACGGAGCGACACAGTTGCTCCGTCCTACCCATGCGTTTTGACGTTTAGGTTAGTCAAATCATTCCGCCGCAGTCGTCAGACACGTGTTTCTAAGGGGTCCGCAAGGTGGAGGACCAAGAGAGAGAGAGAGAGAGAGAGAGAGTAACCCATCCGAAACTGCCCACTCCCACGTCCATCACGTCATCGTCCACCCGCTCGTCGTACGAAACCACCCACGGCGCAACCCGTCGTCCACACTCGACCTCTGCCCAACAACAACAACCGCAGCAGACGCGTTACTTCAGCGTTACTTCAGCGTTACTTCAGCCCCCCCCCGTCCTATCCTGAACCACCGCATACACACACACCCCGCAATGCTCAAGAAGAAGAAGGACCAGAAGCTCGAGCACATGCGCGAGCTCGGGCGCGACCGCCTCACCAAAGGACTGCACTTCCTCCGCACTGCTGCCGCAGCGAACGCGACCGCTGCGGCGCTCGACAGCCGCAGCCGCAGCAGCGACGCCACACCAACAGTTCCGACCGCCGCTGTCGCCGAAGCCGAAGGCGCTCCGTCGAGCACTGCGCGCCGCCGCCTGACGTACGACGAACTGCTGACGCTCAGTATGAAACTCACGCGGCAGAACAAAGTGCTGAGCGCGCAGTGCGAAAAGACGCAGCGACAGGCGGCGGCCGCGCAAGAAGAGCGTCCGGACCCGTTGCCGACGGTCGCGAGTGTGGATCTGCTGGACCTGTCGCCCGTGGCGGCCACTGCGTCGCAGCGAGTGGGAGTCTCGACGGCGGACGGAGAGCAGCGACGGAGCGAAGCGGTGGACGCGCGCGAGACGAGTGGGGCGGAGCGGGAAGCCGAGCTGGAGGCAGCAGCGGGTTTGCTTGCTAGAGTGGAGCAGGAGAAGGCAGAGCTGGCAGAGAGACTGCAACGAGCCGAGACGGCTGCGTCTGCGATGGCTGCCGAACTGGAGCGCGACGAGAGCAAGGACTTGCGTGCAGCACTAGCGACGCAGCAGGCTGCGTTGAAAGCAGCAGAGATGGCCAATGAACGGCTGCAGGAGCAGGTCCAGGCACTGCAACAGGCGCCTGACTCGGGGGATGTCTATGACGCGGAAGTGAAGGAGAAGGTGGCAGTTGCGTTGGAGGCGCAACGGATGGAACTAGAGATGACAAGGGCAGAGAGCGCACGTCTGCGGGAGCAGGTGACAGAGCTGCTTGCAGTGCCTTTGTCCGCTGACGCAACTGAGGCCGAAGTGATGGAGAAGGTGGCAATTGCGATAGACACGCAAGCACTCGAGCTGGAAGCGACAAAAGCCGAGAATGCACGTTTGCAGGAGCAAGTTGAAGCATCGCGTCAGACGATGGTGGCATTGACTTCGGAAGCGCAGGACAGTGATGCTCAAGACGTGACCGACTCGCTGCGTGCCGAAGTTGATCGTTTGCGAGGTCTGCTGGAGGCAAAGGATAGTAAAAGCAAAGATTTGGAGCAAGAAGTTGCGGCACTTCGAGACTGCGCACAAAAGGTGCAAGAGGAAGCAAAATGCTCGAGCATTGCAGTCGATACTGACTTGATGCAGGAGCTGGAGCGAGTGAAACTAGAGACGGTGGAGCGTGAGCACGAGAAAGAGGCGCTGCAGGGAAAGCTGCAAGTTGCAGAAGAGCGCTTGGCCAAGATAGACAGCGAGAGTGAAGCTACTCAGTCGCTCTTGGGGGCCCTGAAAGACGACACAAGTCGGCTTGCTGACCAGGTGGCTCAGTTGGAGCAAAAGCAAGCAGCTTCGGACGAGAAGATTGTTGCGCTGACCGAAGCAAAATGCGACCTCGAGAAGCAGCAGCAAGTTGCATTGGAGGCTAAAGCGGCGATCGAAACGCAGCTGGAAGAGGAGCGTGTATACTGGACTTCAAAGCTGGAAAATCTGATCACTGCCAGCGACGCGGCAGACATTAAGAACGAGGCGCTTGATGCTCAGCTGCGGGAAAAGGAGAAGCAAGTCGCAACGATGGCAGCTTCTCAGGCATCTCTGACGTCAGAACTGAAGGAGCTGCAAGATCTTGTGAGCAGTATGCGCAAAGACCTGTCGACGGCTGCTGAGGATCTTAAGACACAGTCGACGAAGGCCGAGGCTGACAAGCGTAGACGCGTCCAAAGCGAGAAAAAGGTGGCGGAGTTGAAGAAGCGTCTCGACGAGATGCGCGAAAAGCACCACGAAAGTTTTGAAATGTTGCGTCAAGAAAAAGAGGCTGAGCTGGAACGTGTTGCTACTGAGCGCCGTGCGTTGATCAAAATGAAGAAAGAGCTGTCACGGGAAAAGGACAAGCTTCAGGCTCGGTGCCAAGCACTGGAGCTTGACTTGGAGGTCAGACGCAAGCACGAAGAAGAGCTGGAAACTGTTGTGCGTGACAAGACACTCGAAGTGGGCAACGTGAGCGCAGAATTGGCCGAGACGAAAAAGTCACTGTCTGATCGCATGGCTCTGGCGACGAGATTGCAGACTGAAAACATGGACATGGCTAGTAAGCTAGCAGAGCAAGTGGTTCTCATTGAGGGTGCACTGCGCGATGCAGCGAGCAGCAAGGCTGCGCAACGCGAAATGGAAGCTCAGGTGCAAGTCGCACGGGGCGACATGCAGCGCATGGAACAAAGCGAGGCCAAGTCCAGACAGGATCTGGATGTTGTACAGCGTGACATGGCCAAACGAGAAGAGAGCTTTCAGGCTGAGCGGGAGGAAGCCAAAAAAGCATTGCAGACTGCCGTACAGAAGGAAAGACAAACGTACAAACGTGAGCTGCAGCGCCTCGAAGCTGAGAGCAAACACAAGTCAAAGCTGGCTTTGCAAGCAGTTTTGGAGAAGGAGACGGAGGTTGCGCGTCTTAGTGCACGCCTGCACGAGTTAGAGGAGGACGTTCGCTCGGGCGGTGCGGACAACCGCAAAATCCTCGAGTTTGCCCAGCTGCAAGCGAAGCGGGAAGCTGAGGCAAGAGAGCAAGCAGCACAGATGCATGCGCTGTCTGAACAGCTCGAGGGGGCTCATCGTGAGTTGCAAGAATTGCGTGAGGGCAAGCGGCGTCATACTGAGGAACTCACAGCAATGCTGCAGAATCAGCGGCGTGACGGTGTCAACATGGAGTACCTGAAGAACGTGGTCGTGCAATACATGTCCTTCCGACCAGGCTCTTCCGAACAGGCACGACTTGTACCGGTGTTGTCGACACTGCTCCAATTCACGGCTGCTGATGTGAAAGGGGTCAAACACGCATCGTGCCGGGGCAGCGGCTGGACATCGTGGGGAAGCAGTGACGCTGGTCTCGATTACAAACCCGTTGTCGTCAACGCTGGCCATCATTACCCGACGGCTTCGAACCCATCGATAACACAAGACGGCGGCGAGCGGAGGCCCTCATCCAGCAGAAAGACCTCTGCTCTAGCATCCCATGGGTCGTTACCGTCGCCGTCGTTTCCACCGCCGTTTAGAGCGCCTAGCTTCTTCTTGCCGGACGGCGATGCCGATGAGCGCGCGGATCCGTCTGCAGAGAGCGCTGACTTCTAACGGTGAATGGAATGGAAGATCGTGCAGAGCGATAGACGACACGGACAACGTCGCGCGCCGTACCCGTTTACGGCGTAGGACGCCATGTTTGCTCCGAAACACGATGGCTTTTGCTAAGCGGGTGTCAAATAGGGTCAACAAGCTGGATGAGTGCATTGATGGAGATCGTAGAGGGTCAGAAGGCGCGTGTAAATGAATACGCCATGTCTCATTTCGCGGCGTCATCGTAATGGGACAGGCACAACACTCGCGTGCTTTCGTTGGGCTTACGGCTGAGCCATCATGCTCTTTCGATTCATGATGAGTTCCGACGTGCGCCTGTGAGCAGGAAAAAACAACGTGAGTCACGAGTCTGCTGACGTGGGCAACGTCGACGCAATGACTTACTTTCGCGCAGCATCCTGACGCGTCTTCCTCCGCGTTGCAGTGCCGGAACCCGAGTTGGCAGCGGCAATAGCCGCAGATAACGGCGCAGTAGCAAGAAAGCTCTGGTGCCGAGAAAGCGATGCGATGCGATTCACACTGCCCCAGCAGCCCGTGGCAGCGTTTTTCCGGAGCTCGAGCTTGCCATTGCTGCCGCACAACAAGCGCATCCACTCCAAACAGTGGTCTGTACAGACAAACAAGCAGCAGTATCAACACCATCTCGGAACTGCCTTCCCATTCGCAAACAGGCTTACCGATGGAATCACATTTGACGACCATGCGGTCAGGAACTGTTGGGATCGCCTCGGCAGTGACACCCGTTTGTGGCCGTAGCGTAATGACGCACGCCGACTTGCAATTCCCAACCTCCGCTTCTTCCATTTCGTTGCACGCACGGACCTCGAGGATGTCCTTGGAAGCAAACGAGCCCAGGATGTCAGGCTCTTCGTCGAACAAGTGAAGTGCAAGAGACATGATGAGCACGCGCGAGCTCGTCAGCACGAAATACTTTGGGATCCACTTGCGACCGTCCCAATCCTGGAGGTTGGACGAGTACATGACAGCAGATTCAATCTGCAGACGCAACAACTCTTCGTTATCCTTCTGCGACGAGAAGGTGCTGCCACGGCTGATAAATACGCCCGTGCCGAACGTGTCCTCTCTGTTCTTGCCAGACTCTAGCTGCCCATAGGCGCGCTTTACATCGAGCAGCGAGCTGCGCCACATGACGGCTTCTTGGTCCGTGCGAGGAATGATAATCACACTGGTCTCTGATCCAAGAATGAGCTCGACGGCGTTTTCAGGCGAGTTGATGTATGCAAAGCGCACGTCCACAAGTGCGCGGCAGTCAATGACGCCGTAGCGGATGGAAGTTGCTTCGTCTGCGAGTACCTCGTGCTTGTAAATCGACAGCTCATAGCCCCACTGCATGAAGTAACGCAGACGAATACGCTCTTCTTTCGAAGTGCGGTAGTAGAGCCATCCGCTGGAACTGAACTCGCTCGTGGACGCAGCCACGTCAGGAACCGGTCTTTTCAACGGCGCTGTCGGACTGACTGGTAACCCAGCAGTCTTGAAGAACTCGTCATCACTGTGGTCAAATGTCGAGATCTTGAGCAGTTCTTTCGGAAGCACTTGGATCTCGCCAAGAGGCGACAATGCCGTATTGCCCTTCAGTGACAAGGAGTTCGTGCAGCAATCGTAGATGGCACTAGCCCATTCTTTCAGTTGCTCCTCAGTGTCAAAAGCCAGCAGGAAGGCATAAAAATCGCCAATTTGGTCGGTCCGCGAGCTCTCTTCAGCAGCTGTGGGAACAGCAAAGCTGACTTCCAACTGGTAGAAATCGGCTTCATCTTTGCTGCGTGTCCACACCTTGGACATTTGGAGGTGGAATATGCAAGGCAGTGAGATCATGCCAAGCATCCGTCCACCCTCTTCTGTGTGAAAGATAAGCTGGTGGTTGCGCAGAGAAAAGTACCGACGACGAAACACCTGATACAGCCGATCGAGTTTCCATATCCATGCCTCTTTCGGCTGGACGCTGGCCCAATAATCAGCGTGTGGTGCCTTTTTCAAGACCAAACCGCCACAACAACACATCACCAGCATCCAACGCTTGGCAATTCTTGCGCTTTCTGCGACCAACTGAACGTCCTTTTCACCTTTCACCTTCACCACAAAGCTGCCCAAGTTCAGGCCATCCGAATGCACTTCCTCGATCTCTTTCAGCGAAATGGCGTCAATAGCGTCACCCCATTCGCTCTCGTAATCACCTTGCGAGCCGTAGTAACGGAAAACGCCACTTGAGATTGCAGCAAACACTCTTCTGCCAGCTATCTGGATCTCGCCACCGATGCCCGTGAAATCGCTTGCCAGCACCGTGCCTGGCCCTGTCGTCAATACTCGCTCTTTAGCAATGCCCGCCGCGGCATACTGACTTTTCGCGCTACTTGATCCTCCTGACTCAGGAATAGACGTCATTAACCCCGCAGTGTTCAGCGCAATCCGTTTAGCATCACTTATCGTGGGCGTAACGTCGATGTCGACGTCACTATCAGCCAGTCGGTAGTAGTAGTCTGATAGCCAGATCAACGCGGACAACCACGCTTCTTTTTGAGCATAGCTTTCCGCAACCAGCTAAGCAAGTATGGCAAAGCAGACATAAACTCGTCAGAATGCACGTCACGACCAAGGTGAAGAAGCAAAGAACTTTACCAGCCAGACAACTTTGTCAGCAGTAGTGAGCTGAATCGTGAAGTCGAGATGCTCTTGAAAACCAGACTCAGCTCCCCTCACGTCCTTGACGTTGCGGAGGTCAATCCTGCTAGCATATGAATGCAAGCTCTCCTCCGCAAGCACCTCGTACTTGAACAACATCAAGTCGTTGTCGATAAGGACGAGGAACCGAGGGTGGTATGCACCCATACCCACACTCCGTGGTCGCTTCACGAAAAACCATCCGCGCTTGGCTCCCTTCAGTGTCACGTCCTTCAGACTGCGGTACAAGCACGGTGACTGAAGGACATTCGGATCGATGTACTTGAATGGGTTCGATATCAGGCGCGATATCGTCGGTCGCGTCATAGGCGTGTCGGAATGACGCAGCGCGTACGTCTGGCTGTTGCTGCGCGAAGCGCGTCGACTGATCGACGATAGATCATACTCTTGCCCCGTGAGGCGCTTAGCTTCTTTGCCGATAGATATTCCCCACTTCATCATTTTTTCCTGTGTAGTAAAGCAAATCACGAACGGACGGCGGTACTTCGTCGCGGAATCGTGGACAAGAACTCCTAGCTCCAGACGCCATGGCATCGTTTTTTCTTTTGTTGTTCCGTTGACAGAAAAAGCGTTGACGCTAGAATCGCTGTCAGCAGCTGTGTCGTCAGTGATCTGGCTAGGCACGATGCTGACGATGTTGTCACAGCGTAAGACGCCGATCGGACGCGTGCGCGTAGCTGCTGAGCCGGCGTCAATGTAATACATCAGCTTACCATCTTCAAGCAAAAGAAAGTAGTAGCACGAGAATGTCGGCAGCAAGTCGCCCAGCTTGCCGACATCATCCTGCAGCACGACCTTGGGCTCAAGAATGGGGTTAAACTCCACAACTGCCACAGGATGAACAGGAATGGACAGCCTCGTCGCCTTGGGTGAAAACAGCGGCGAGTTCTTGAGTAAATCGACCCACTGCCCCATATCCTCCTGGCTTTTCGTGTAAAACGTAAAAATGCTTTGTGATCCTTCAAGCGTAATACCCCATTGCTTCGGATGGCACTGCGTGAACGCCGTGACGACTTCACGCGTATCGTTCGTAGGTCGGACATCTGACACCTGTTCCATTCGGATCAACAAACATGGCTCGTCCACTCTTCCACCCTGCATGCTGGGCTTATATAGCTTCAGCTTATCGCCATGTAGTTGTAGCATCCGAATGCGGAACCGGAGTGCTGATGGCTCCTTAGCAAGCACCCAGCCTTCTGCAACGCGGGCGGTATCCACTGCTGGTGCCGTGCTATAGTCAATCCGAGAAAACCGCAGCGTAAGTGGTCGCCCAGCAGCACGAATCAGGTCAACGGCTTGCTCAAACTCGATGTTTGTAAAGTAGTGACTGTTGATCGAGATGAGCACGTCGCCGACCCGAATGACGCCAGACGCTTCTGCAGGCCGTAGCTCCCCACCGGGTCCCGTCCCGTCTCGGAACCCACACACCATCACTTCGTCGTCCACCGTTCCGCGCAGAATCAAATTCAACGGACCCGGCTGATCAAACGTGACCGTAATGATCTTCTCCTTGACATCGTCCTCGCCGTGACTCTTCAAGTCCCCATCGCTCACGCTGCCGACAAGAGTTCCCGTCATGCGCAGCCCATTCGCATCCGTGAACCTCGACCCCGGCGTCAACGCCGTCTTCCTCGCCGCTGCACTCGGTCTTGGAATCACCGAACTGCCTCGAATGATCGACGACTCTGGTCGCAACATCAACTTGGGCTTGTACTCCCCGCGCAGCTACCAGTCAATCACCACACCACGTCAGCCACACCCGATCGAGTCAGCCTCAAACCCTCTTCGAGACACCACGAGCCCGCAACAACGAACCCGCCGACGCCGAGGGAAAACAGCATCGATTCAAACAAGTGCATAGACAACAAAAAGAGCTCTGCGCACCACTAGCGTCAAGACTGTCGCCCAGCGCACCATATCTTCTCGATCGTTGCCTGCCACGGTGTAGATCCGATCGGCGCACACCTAAGCGAAACACGCCACCACAGACACCATAGCGACAAATACACCCGACAACAACAGCTGCTGTCAGTCCCCCGCCATCTCTCTTTCTCAAGCTCTCCCTCTCTCAGTCTCAGTCCCCCCGCCATCTCTCTCAAGCTCTGCGTCTCTACCAGATCGAGCGCATGCTCTGGCGCGTCGGCAACGCTCGAGGGCAGCACAGCGTTCACCGACGTCAAGTGGATCGCGCCGAGCTCTGTCTCTTCGGTGCTCGTCTTGAAGTAGCGCAAGATCATGCCGTCGAGCACGAACCACCGCACGCGGTACGTGTTCCCCGGCAGGTGCAGCCGCAGCAGTCGCGAGCTGTTGAGCTTCTTCCCGCCCGCGCCCACGTGCTGCGCCTTGCGCTTGAAGTCGGGCTTGAGCAGAAAGCCCTTGGGGTTCTCGAGCCAGTCCGTGTGGATCGCGCCCGTGAGCTGCATCTGGTGCACCTCGCGCGACAGTCTCTCGTACGCGTTCTCGGGGCCGCCGGACGCGCCGCCGACGCCCGAGTCGGCCCCTGCAGCGCTCACGCCCTTAATGGAACTCGCGCTCAGGTCGGTCGCCATGGCGGCGGCGTGGGGCTGTACGGCGGACGGCGGACGGTGGACGGCGCGGGGCGGACGGGGTAGGGCTGGGGCGGTTGTGGCTGGACACGAGGGGTCGGGGTGCTGCGAGTGGATGGTTTGTGCACGACACTTGAGGGAGAGAGGGAGGATGGTGGTGGTGGCGGCTTTGTTGTTGCTGGTTTGGGGTGGGGGGGGAGAGAGAGAGAGAGAGAGAGGACGATGAAAAGAGGGCAGTATACGAGACCCATTTTGTGCAGCCCGATGGCGTCCAAACTGGCCACGTGACTTGATAGGCTGTGAGCAGACTCTTTTTTTGCTCCCGCGGGTTTGTGGCGCGGGCAAGTGTATACAGCGTATAGTGCGTGCAGGACGACCTGTCCTGCGTTTGATATCTACGACCGGTGTGCTGCGTCCTTCTAGCACGGCCGCCATCGGTCAATTGAGTCCCTTCGTCACGTGATGACATGTACAGTGTCAGGTTGCGTCAGTCGATATTCGTCTCGTTTCGCCTTTCGCTGTCTACTAAGTAACCGGTTTGTCGTTGCGGTCTCGTCAGTCGCACACACTGATGGTCAAACACGCTGTAGTTGTGGCGATGGCAGATCAGCGTCAAAAAACTCGATCGTGTGCGTGTCATAGAGGTGTGCGGCGCTTGTTTTGCGTGGCTCATCAAACGACAGCAGCATGGAACGGTCAAACAAACGAGTTGAGCCGGACGCTTAGACTTCTGATCGATGCGCATCACTTGCAATGTCCATAGTGAGCTGGCGTTTTCGTGCTGTCACAATATGATTCAGATAACGGCAAAGCATCGTGGAAATACGTAGCATAGCACGAACGGATAGCGGCAGTGACAGCACACAGTCGCACGTACATCAGATTGACCCAATGTCGCTCGACCGCCAACAGCGTCGACAGTGATAGCTGCGATTGTAAAGTCAAGCGCTCGGAGACGACATCTGCTTTGGCAAATATGGAGGCACGCACCAAGTTGTGCACTGACAATACACGCACGGTGTCGTACATGCCCTGCTCGATCGTGTGCTGAGAACGCCGTACTTGTCCAGACTGTGAACAACTGCTTCGACCAGCTGCGCAGGTCTTCTAAGACAGACTTGGGACGCTACACACGTCAACCTTGCAGAGCCGCACGCAACCCAGGATTTGTTCTGGTAACTCGTGGTCGTCCTGTCCTTCCAGTACAAAGCCAAAGTCCAGAACCATGTTGCAAGCATGACTCGAAATCCCCACGAGTCCCTTGCGTGCAATGTAGTTGAAGTCGTGTGCATTCACGTCGACCTCAAAGTAGCCGTCTCCACGGTAGAACTGGTGCTGAGGCCGCGTGAGAATCGGCTGACCGTTGTAAGTTTCAAGCAAGTGACGTTCCGCCCGTCCCAACTGCTGTTCCTGAGGGTTCGCCACAACTCCAATCGCCTTGAACCGCTCGCTCTGAGCATTGTAGCATCTTTGAGTCAGTTGACGTGCCACATTGTCCTGCTAGTGCGCTCCATGCTACAACTGACTTACCGCCCAGCTATTTGGTTGCATGAAGTCTTTCAGCAACTGCGAATCACAAGAATACACAACGTCGGACCAACGATACGCCACCGAGTGCAACATCAGACACGTTTCTAGACACACGTACACGAACAGCCTGCAGCGGCGGTTCCGCTGCGCTATCGAGCATTTCTCGGATAGCTGGAGGAACCGCAAAATATGTCACAAAGTTGAAGCCTACACCATCGCTCTGTTTCTCGCCCCATAGCGGATTTGGCGGCTGGTACGAAGGAACTTGGCAATTCACGATGAACAAATCCAAGTCTCCTCTGCAACACAGCGTCAGAACAAGTTACAAGTATGCTCATGCAAGGTGCTAACGCCATAGATATGCTCTCATTCCTTACGTAGCAGGTTTCAGTACGCTGAGATTGACGATGCTTCCAATATTGTCGACCTTGACATCGGACTGAAACAAAGGTCACGCATGAGATGCAAGCAAACAACTCCAAGGCCTCATGGTCCGATTGTGAACACTACCTGGTAGACATCGACGGCAACGAGTTCCAATAAAGCAGATGTCGATGCGGCTTTTAGTTTCGTCTTGCGATAGTTTGGGCCTAGACACAGAAAAAAGGAGTCGCAAGAACATGAGTGCAACAGGTTCCATTCAAAAGCCGCCCCTTTGCACATGTTACCAGACCTTGGCGAACATCGAAACGAGTCGCATCAACATGCGCCCAGCAGCCGGTCGCGCTTTCGGTCATTGCAGCGGAGCCCATCTTTAGCGAGGCTCCTGCTGACGGTTTCATGCCATCGATTTTACCCAAGAACGTTGCGCGCTTCGACAATAAGCTGCTACTGGAGGTTTGCTGGAGATTCGTGCTACTAACCGCCAGCTTCGTACGTGGCTTGTCTTCTGCACCACCACTATCACCAGCATCTGTATCCGCTAACGTCCGTGACGACGTCCGTGAAAACGGACAGTCCTTGCGAGGGTCCACTTTTCGATACCACAGCAACCATACAGCCACCGCGTTCGCCACGAGAGCAGCGAGACACCACGTCGATATGCTCATGTATCGTACAAGTACTGTCACAGCAACACACGTCGAAACGAGTATCAATCGTTAGGCTCCGTATCTACCTACCGACCAACCCCCACGCGTCTCGTCATTACCAACGGTCGGATTCAGCGCGAGCAGCATTGTTCTGTTGCTACGAAGGACAGTGCACATCTTCAACCAGCAACATGACCACAGTAGTGCACAAGTCAGCTCAACGGCTTACACCATCGAGAGCCAACACGGCAGGGACCCAACCTCGTTGCCCACTGTCCACGTACCTGCTCGAGCACTTGCTTCGGCTTTGCCTCGTTCCCCATCGCTCCCTCAACGTCATTCATCGTCTCAACGACCTGCTCGTCGTCTGCCACTGCGTTTACACATGGTCGCGGGGACACTGTCGCACCACCTGACACGGACACAGCCGTCTGAGTTGCACCAGCCAATGGCGCTCGTCTCGTGTCGCGTGGGTTCACTCGACCGGTGCTCGACGGAGCAATAACTGCTGCAATGGCCGTCGTCCACCGCCGGAACTCCACGTCCGAGTCGGCGCACAGGCGCACTTCTTGCTGTCCGTCGTCGCCGTGCAGAATCGAAAAGCAAAAGGGCGTAGGGACCCCAGCGGACACGTCGCCGCCCTGCACCACGAGCGAGACGCCCTTGTGCTTGAGCGAGAGGACCCCGTGGGCGTCCTGTCGCAAGGCCAGCGACACGAGCGGCGACGCGTAGCGAAAGTAGCGGAGCACGCCCTTGTCCGGGTCCAAGACGACCCACCGCTGGTTCCAGCGCTTGCGCTTCCACTTGCCGGCGCTCTGCTTCAGTAAGTACGACGACACGAGCGCACTGGATCCAGCGACAGAACTCGACGCGGCCGCCGACAGCAGCGACGGCGGCGGTAGTCCCGTGCTGGCGATCGGCGCCTGCGACGGCGGCGGCATGTGCGGCGCCGAGCAGAGCGCGGGAGGTGTGTCGTCTTTCGGTGCGAGGAGTCAGTTGGTGGGGCAATTGCGTACTACGTACGTACGTACGTACGTACTATACAGAGAGATGGGCCTTTTAGGGGGTCGATCGAGTTGAAGCTGTTGTGGGGACCGACTCTTCTTGACAAGTCACGTGAATCGAGTGCGGTCCTACTTACGTGCACTGTGTATGCACTGTGCAGTTGCTGCTCCCGCCTTTTCAATGTTCGACACGAGGACGAGTGGGGACGATACCGAGTTGTGCAGCGCAGTGGAAGTAGTCAGCTTACGACGTGTTGTACGCTATTGTCATTGACCCTTAGTGAGGTGTGTCTCGATGGTTGTAGTCGTACTGCGTCCATCGTCGCGAATTCGGTCATCCGTCAAAAGCACTTCCACGTTCGTCGATCCGCGAGCAGAAACCTGCGACGCTCGTGAAACTCTTATCGCGACGGTTAGCTGCTTCTGGCTGTTTCCACTTGGCTGACCTCAGGTGTCTCGACGCGACGCAATGGCGGTGTAGCCTACTGCACCGCTTGTGCTGCTAGAGCACGCGAGCCATTGTGTTTCTTCTGGTCTGTCGGAAACTGGTCGACTATCTCATACTCGCCCACCAGGTGAACAGCAAACGTCACTCGCTCATGCACCCCGTTCGTCAGCACGACTTCGTAGAAACCAGGATAGCTGACGTGGTTGCCCATGTCGTCGACCATCGCGAGCGTTCTTTGCTGGATACGGAAAGTGACCTTGTGGTGCTCGGCCTGCCGCAAGCTCACGCGACGGTAGTCAAACAACTGCTCATTCAGCAGTGCAGCGTCGCCAGTCGCACTCACGTTCAACGGACGGAAGAAGGCAAACACGACCTCATCTGCAGCGAAGTTGCCCTCATTCGATACGACGACAGTGACGTTTACATCCACATCACGCGTCACGACGAGAGGTTCGTTTGGGTCCGTCACGTGGCTGTCGATGTCGAGAGCCAAAGTGAACGTAGTGTAGCTGAGACCCCAGCCGAACGGAAACACGGGCACCTCTTTGTAGTAGCGGTACGAGCGACCAGGGTATTTCGTCATGCTCATGCTTTTCATGTCCACCTTGTGAATGTAGTCCGACGCGTACATCGTAACAGGCAGTTTGCCGCTTGGCACGGCATCGCCAAAGAGTACGTCGCTCACAGCTTGCGCACCGTAGACGCCTGGGTAAAACGCTTCCAGGACACTATCCGTATGTAAGATGAGCTCTTCAGCGCCCAGTACGCCCCCGTTCAAGAGCACGACAACCGTCGGCTTGCCGGCACGACGGACTCGCTTCAGCAGCTGCATCTGGATATCGGGCACATCGATGTTCTCGCGATCCCCTGCTTCGCGCTCAATGGACGTATCGATGCCGAGACACAAAACGACGGCATCTGCTTCCCGTGCAACTGCTTCCGCATGGTCAAAGTGTGCGGTAGAAGTGTCGTTGATGCCGGACCCTTGAGCGTATACGGTGTTGGCGCGACCGTTGGCCGCCCCGATCGCTTCCAGCAATGTCTGCACGCACCCGACCTCCAAGTAGTCGCCGTGACATATCTGACCCAAGTAATTGCCCAGCAGCGCCCGCTTCGCCCTTGCGTGCGGTCCAATCACCGCGACCTTCGTGCCCTTGCGCAGCGGCAAGACGTTGCCGTGATTCTGCAGCAGCACCAGCGATTTGCGCGTGAGGTCGAGACTCAGTTGCTTCGAGGCCGCCGTGTTGACCTCACTCGGTCGAACGTGCCAGTACGGCTGGTCGTCGATGGGATCGAAGAGGCCCAACTCAAACCGGAGCTTCAACGTCCTCCGCAACGCGTCGTCCACCACGTCTTCGGGCAAACGCCCACTCGTCACGAGGTCCGCCAGACAGCGCTCGTACACTCTGCCACTGTTGATGTCCGTGCCCGACAAGATCGCGAGCCGACCCGCTTCGCACAGCGACGTCGTGTAGTGTGCATGCCGAAAGATGCCCTCAATCGCCCCCGAGTCACTCGTGATGTAGCCGTCAAAGCCCAGCGCCCGCCGCAACAACTGCGTGTTTAGCTTCTCGTTCGCGCACATGGGCACGCCGTTGACGCTGTTGTACGCGCACATGACGCCCTTGGCCTGTCCCTGGCCAATGGCCGCCCGGAACGCCGGCAGGTACGTGTCGGCCAAGTCGTACCGCGAGACGACCGCGTCGAACGCTCTTCGGTCAATGCCGTCCGAGTTCTCGAACGAGTACGCGGCAAAGTGCTTGAGCGTCGTGACGGCCTGCAAGAAGCGCTTGTCTCGGCCCTCCTGCAGTCCCTTTGTGTACGCGACGCCGTAGCGGCTGTTCACGAGCGGATCTTCCGACGGCGTCTCCATGTTGCGCCCCCAGCGCGGGTCGCGGTTGACGTTGACGTTCGGCGACCAGCAGTCGAGGCCCACGTGCGGCCCCGCGGCGTAGTTCTCGCGCGCGCCTTCGAGCCACAGCGCGCGCAGTTCCCACGCCACGACTTGCGCCATGGCGAACACCGCGCGCGGGTCGAAGAGCGCGCCCATGTTCACGGGGTTCGGGAACGACGTGGCGCAGTGGACGCCGCACGTGGACTGGACGCCGTGGACGCAGTTGGCGCCCCAGTTGTACTCGGGCAGTCCGAGTCGGCTCACGTTGCCTCGTGGACTGCTGCGGGCCGTGAGCAGCGGCACTTTCTCGTGCAGTGAGAGGCGCTGCAGGAGGTCGTTGACGCGGTCGGCCGTGGCGAGCGACGCGTTGCAGAAGGGGGAAGCGGACGCGGTCGGCCGCGTTGGAGCACGCGCGTGGGATGGACGCGACAGGGGGAGGAGGGGGAGGGGCGCGTGCGCTGTGGAGGCACAAGAGGCCCAGAGCCAGAGCCGAGAGGACGGCCGGGGGCGGCATGCGGAGAGACACACACAGAGAGAGAGACACACACAGACACACGGGAGAGAGAGAGAGAGAGAGAGAGAGAGAGAGAGAGAGAGAGAGAGAGAGAGAGAGAGAGAGAGAGAGAGAGAGAGGACGACTCGACTCGAGTCGAGTGGATTGATCTTTGCTGGCGACGGATGAGAAAGCGACGCAGTGTGTGGCTCTGTTTTCTGGTTGGACAGTCGATTGGGTTTGGGGCTTTGGCGGCGTTTTCGAGGAAAGCGATCGGTGGATCGATCGACTGTGAAAGGCGACGGCGGACGAGTGCTATACGACACGCGAAGGCGTTTTGCACACTGACGTTCGTTGATAGGCAGTGAGTGACGAGTGAGACGGCGGCACGAGAACGTTTCGCTTTTCGCCTGTGGTGAATGACAACGAGTTGAGGACGTGAAGTGGACGAACGCGACTTGGAACGAATCGTATTCGAACGCACGTGTGTCTCTGTGGCGACGCTTTGGCAGCAGTGTTGAGACTGCGCTTTCGTCACGGGAGACCACTCTCTGATACGAAAAAGAGGAACGGGCGGAGGGAGGGCGGACCGACGCACACGCTGACTGCATCACGGCAAGTGCGACGGACGGACGGAGACGCGCGTGGCAACGTGCTGTGCTATCGTTGGAGCCGCAGATCATTCGCACACACCCCATAAGCGCAGCGAAACGGCCTCCTTTGCGAAGGATGCGATGCAACGAAGGCGCGGCGAACGCATGGCACCGTGTTGATGCTCACGCTGTAAAGTGGTGACACTCGATCGATATGACCACATCGGTAAACTACGATGTTCTTACCATTAGGGCTGTACTACAGTACCTGTCTCTAGAAATCTTACACAGACTAATGAGACGGCGGTTGCTTTCCGGACCGTTGTCCATGTCCGTCGATATCTCCTTTAGGTAGGTAGACAGATAGATGTGTGTGTGTGTTGTGTGTGTGTGTTGTTCAGATGGTCTATTTGCACTGTGTTAACTATGCGCCTTAACCTCTGCAGTTTGCTAAGCCAGAAGTGAGCGCCGGGAGACCCGGAGGCTAATCGTGGCTGGTCCCTATAAGAGAGACTCTCCGAGGAGCTCACCCATCTGCGATGGTGGCCCCCTTCAGCCGCTTGCGCGGCCCCCCGACGTGGAGAGCGATCACCGAAGTGAGTGCGTGGCGTGGAGAACGCCAACCCGCCGTTTCTCTCTCCGAGGAGCTCACCCATCTGCGATGGTGGCCCCCTTCAGCCGCTTGCGCGGCCACCCGACGTGGAGTGCGATCACCGAAGTGACTGCGTGGCGTGGAGAACGCCAACCCGCCGTATCTCTCTCCGAGGAGCTCACCCATCTGCGATGGTGGCCCCCTTCAGCCGCTTGCGCGGCCCCCCGACGTGGAGTGCGATCACCGAAGTGACTGCGTGGCGTGGAGAACGCCAACCCGCCGTATCTCTCTCCGAGGAGCTCACCCATCTGCGATGGTGGCCCCCTTCAGCCGCTTGCGCGGCCCCCCGACGTGGAGTGCGATCACCGAAGTGACTGCGTGGCGTGGAGAACGCCAACCCGCCGTATCTCTCTCCGAGGAGCTCACCCATCTGCGATGGTGGCCCCCTTCAGCCGCTTGCGCGGCCCCCCGACGTGGAGTGCGATCACCGAAGTGACTGCGTGGCGTGGAGAACGCCAACCCGCCGTATCTCTCCCCGAGGAGCTCACCCATCTGCGATGGTGGCCCCCTTCAGCCGCTTGCGCGGCCCCCCGACGTGGAGTGCGATCACCGAAGTGACTGCGTGGCGTGGAGAACGCCAACCCGCCGTATCTCTCCCCGAGGAGCTCACCCATCTGCGATGGTGGCCCCCTGCAGCCGCTTACGCGGCCCCCGGACGTGGAGTGTGCGCTCGCCGCAGCGGCGACACGTGGCGCGGGGTACGCCTCCAGTCCATAAAACACCCCTGCTTGGCCGCTTACGCGACCCGTCGGTCCCCTACGCCCACACCCGCGACTGCGAGTGCAGCGCGCCCGCGTCAGATCTTCGACCCCGTCGGCACCCCGAGGGGAGGATTCCCTCCGACGTGACTGCCCCGAAGGGAAAAAGACTGGCTTGAGCTGAACCGTGAAAATTTGGGAATGGTAGACAGATAGATAAACAGATAGATAGATAGATAAACAGATAGTAAAAGATAGATAGATAGATAGATAGATAGATAGATAGATAGATAGATAGATAGATAGATAGATAGATAGATATATACTCACTGCATTACAGACAAGTTGCGATATTCGATGTGTTACTGCTAACGTCATTGCAAACAGAACACTGCTCATAAATACTTTGGATCTTTGTTTGTATCTCACAAAACGTTACTCCCATTTTCACAATTGCCATGTTACCCGATACACTTTGGACGTACGTCATGTGTCTCCCAAACAAACGGCGATCCTACATATTTTGACTTCTAGCGGGGGCGCATGTGACTTGTAGCGCTTGTTGGCCGCTAGTAATGAAAGTAGGATTGTGCCCTGCTTTAATTCGTAAACAAACGCCAGTTCTCCTTTTGATCTGTTCGAGACACGTGCCTTGCTTGCAGAGGCATCTTAGATCATGTAAGAGGAGTCAAGTCTTGTTAAGGCGTAGACTTTGAGCACTGTGTGCGGTTGATTCGTTGAACCGTTTGATCCCTTGAACAAGGACCTGGAGCTTTAAGCTTTTTGACTCGTAGAGTCAAGTTCTGTTGAAGAGCTAAATTGCTCGATGAGCAGAAAGCGTTCCTCTGGCAGAGAGCTATCGTTCCTCCGCTACATAAGCGTTCACTTACCTTCTCATGTGATTGAATATGGCGAGTGGTAAACGAACCGGATTCGAAAACCGGTGTGCACGTTTGTACGATCTTGCGCACGCAGATCGGACTCGATGAAGAGTGTGTCTTGTCAACAAAACAACAAACGCACGTAGCACGCGCAATCGCAAACCAGTCCAGCGAATGCGCTCAGCAGGACCGATGCAACACAGCCTGTCCCTGTTCCCTATTCGCGTCGAGTCCACCACGATTTTGGTATTAAATGGGGTCAAAAATACCTGGAACGAAGGTCGAAAAGGTGAGCACGCACCCAAGCAGGTCAACGTGTCACACAAACCAAATCAACATCACGCCTGCAGCCTTATTTGCCATAGACGACACGATGGTGATCAGCTTCTTCTGTGACACCATCTCACCAATGTACTCAATGATGCATTTGTCCCTAGCGACGAAGTCGTTCACGTATAGCCCGAGTCCGCAACGCAAAGCTCCGACCCACCCCTCGTACGTGTTTCTGTTTGCCGAGAGCAATGCTGCGACCATGGCACCTCGTTTCACGCTTGTCGTCCTTCTTCATCTTGCTTGCGTTGACGTCATATGGCTCACCCCTTTCGCGGGCAACATCTTGTCTAAAGAGCACATTGTGCTACGATCGATAACGTACTCATGAACAGCACGGAAGCAGACACACGCCTCCGTACGGCAACGACCACGCTTGTACCGACACCCTGGAATGAAGACGTGACACTTGTCATGGATGCAACCGTGGCAGTGCTTCCAGCAAAACATGACATTGTCGGCACAGGAGAACAAACGCAGGCCGAAAGTGGACCAAGGTGAAGCACGACTGGATGCTCTGTGTATGACAGGTAAAGCAGTCACGTCGTTCAAAAGAATGCGCTGACAGACCCGACTACGAGTGGACGTACTTCAGTCGAACGGTGTCCCTCACGCCAATTTGAGAGCCTGTTCAAGTCAGCAACGAACGCATACAACGAGGTGGACACATACAGCACATCAGCAGCGTATTTTGTATGTGCATCCCAGCGTAAGTCTGAAAGCCGTCATTTTTCGGGTCTCAGCTAGTTGCGAACGGGTGCGATGCGTTCAATATATGTGCTTCCATGTGGCCACATCGCTTTTGATCTCAAAGCACTGCGGCGTATCTTGGACGACAAATTACATGCAATCCTTGCAGAACATGCAGACATACTTTGTACATGGGCAACATGCATCCGCATTTTCGCATCTTCTGCGAGCGCGGTAAGAACGAATGAGCCTGTAAGGTTAACAACACAGGTAACAGACTGTACACGCAGAGGCACGAAATCACGGTTTGCCTCGCTTGTACCTCGTTCGGCAATCTCCTGTCCGTCGATGTTGCAGTAAGCACACACTCCAGCGACTTCCATGCAACCAGCGTTGCCAGCCATCTCCGACATTCACACACGTGTAAGCGCATGCACATCCTGTCTGTTTGCTCCACAAAAACTAGCGCAACAAATGTACGGCCTTGAAAATGCTATCGCAGCTTGACACACTGAGTGCACCTGGCCACGACACATTCCTTCCCACAGTTTTGGCCAGTGCTGACCACTGTTTTCGTCTCCTTCGCACATGAAGCGTCAGCGTTTTGTGTCAAAGTACTTCATCGACCATATCATGAACATCAAATTGATCGCGCACCGACGTCAAAGGCTTAATACAGCGCACCAGTTAGGTTGCTCAGTGCATCCATGATAGCATCACAGCGCAGAAAACACCAACGACAAAACAATCTGCACAAATATAGCGGTCACGTCACACATCTGAGCTCTCGATACAGCAAAATTCGCAAATGAATCACGAGCGCGTACGACGGTATGCATCGGCTGGTTTTTCGTAGAGCTGTAAGTATTCCTTCAACCAGAGCGTCCGATCAGCGTGATTTAGCAGGCCCACCCTCGCCGTGTCGGCAGGTATCACCCTGTCTGCAATACGTTTTTGCTTCGTTTATCAGTGATTTCGTATCTCCATTCGTCGCAATCTGTTGCTGTGCTCTCGGTCGGATGCAGACTCGTGGCCAGCAGCTAGTTGCGACAAGTGCAAAACAGGGTCGGACCAGAGAGACAACAAGAATACACTACATGCGCTCAGGCCAACGTGATGGCTTCTCTTGAGCTTTTCTCTCAGCATGATGAAACTTGACACACGTGCGAGATCGCTCAAGTAAGGTCACACGTCGACGGAAAAGTTCTTTGATAACAAATACTAACGAGGAACAAAACAATTGACAGTCAGATGAGAAGCAGCCCACAATCTAACCAGCAGCACCGTAGACGTCTCTCGCTTCACACGTTCGTGCCCCGGCACGAGTCAGTCCTACCATCACCATCATCATCATCATCATTGCTGCACAGGCATCCACGTGTGGTTCCTTCTCTTACCGTAGTCCTTGGTCAAGGCCGTCCACATCGTGGCAGTTCGAAGTGAAAACACCTTAGCAGCATTACGACGCCCTTGGCGACGAACTGACTCCGAGGGTCGATCAGCTGGTACTAGACCGTGCGCTCGACTTGACGCCCATTGACCCATCTCGGCAACTCAATGCACCGCTACAAACTACACGAACTTATGAGCAAAGAACACATACTGTCACAACACCATTCACACGCAAACCATCGTTAGGATACACATACTAAACACGTTCGAGCACGCGTGTCCACGAGTCGCTGTTGAGCAGCCCCATTTGACGAGCTTTGAGTCGATTGCAAGCGATCGCCGTCTATCGTGCTCTCTACAATATAAAACAATGATCATTATATAAAAAGCAAAACGAAGCGCACAACGAGACGGCCGTCACGGACGGCAGACCCGGCAACAAAAAACGAAACAGACAGCTGCAGCAGCAGCTGAAGTGTGTGTCGCCCAACTACGTACACTGGCCACGATGGGAAGCGTGCGGA